TCTCTCTCTCTCTCTCTCTCTCTCTCTCTCTCTCTCTCTCTCTCTCTCTCTCTCTCTCTCTCTCTCTCTCTCTCTCTCTCTCTCTCTCTCTTCTTTTCCCCCATCAAAGAGCGCTCTAACCCCCTCCTTTTTGGCAGTCCGGGTCTCTCAAGTCGATGGACTGGAACGACCTGGCGGACGCGGTCCAGGCCATCGCCGACGGGTGCGGCAGGTCCGTCGGCATCTGCGGCTCGAGGGTGTTTACTAGGGGTGTCCGCGTCATCGTGAGCGGCGACGCGTGCTGAAAGCGCGAGGTTTCGGTCTTGGGGGATTTTCATTTCTACATGCGTTAGTATCGAAAGGCCCATGGTTGGAAAGGTCGGCCCTTGGAATAATACATGACTGGGAAGGTTTATACTAGAAGGCGTCTGGGCTCTTGTCTATAAAGAAGTAATGTATAATTAGGATGGACAGCTAGGGTTTGGATACTTGTACGGCGGATTGGATGTCAGGTTGATAATATCGGGTTGGTGTCAGCTTCGCGTCGATGCCTCCAAATCGAAAACTGACCCACTCGGTCTCAGGAGTGACCCCTGACTCACTGGCGGACGCTCAAGCTGGCCAACGTGAGAGACCAACACGATACTTTCCTTTCGGCAACGTGATCCAGTGTGTCTTATTTCTAACCCACACAACGCCTGCTTTTTCATCATGGCATCCATCACGGATGTGCGGAAGGAGTCTCCAAACGCTACAACCGCTTGATTGTCCCATCTACCCGCTGTTTAGTCGAAAGTGCCTGAAGAAGTGCCGTCACATAAAGTCGTCCTCCCAGTTCTCATCACGGTTCTGGTTGCTAGAGCCCTCCATGTTCTCCTCCGCGAAGATGTCGTCGTAGGCGTGATCCTTCTGCCACTTCTTCTCGCTGCGCTCCTTGGCAATCTTGGCTTCCTCCTTGCGCTGTAGAGGGGAGCTGTCAGCAACCGAGCGGAATTATGGCGGTGATATAAGAAGAGTGGTTTCCTCTGTGATGGTTTGGAACGCACCCTCTGCAGCTGCGCCGACTGATCCCGTTTCCGGAGCTCACGCAGGCGGTCGTCCTTCTCCTGCTTCAGATCCGGGTGCCTCTCCTCCTTGGTCTTGTTGAGCCTGTTGACTATGGCGTTCTCCCGCTGGGGGACCAGGATCCTCTTGACCTTTTTCTGGTCATGGAAGCTGACCTGGCCGACATCCATGCTGCCGTCCTTTTTGAGATTGGACCAGGGAGTGTAGATTATGGTGATATTGTCCTTCTTGTTACCTGCAAGCGACAAGGAGGTGAGCAGGCCTGGCGCTTATCGGCTCCCACTTGGAAGCATTGACGGGTGGCGGGCATTCACCTTCGATGGAGTTTGCCTTGGTCAACTGGGCCAGGTCCTGGACCAGAGGCTCGGGGATGGCATCCCAGGTCTCGCCCTCTCGCAACCTCAAGTAAATGTGGGCGCTGGAGAGCTTGTCCACGTGGAACTGTAGCAATATTGTGCCGCCGTGTGAGAGCCCTGCGACAGCAAACAACACATGGATAAAGGACTTGAGACAAGCAACAGGTTTTGTCATACCCTAGGTACGTCGCGAATAAGCCCCGGAACGGGCCAGCATTTTTGTGTTGCGAGCCAGTCGCCTCGACCGGAGGCGAGACAAGAACTCACCAGACATCCTCTTCCCAGCCATGCTTGATCAGATCCTCATCTGTCGTTTTTGAAGGCAGGAGTGAACTAACGTGTCAGAAATGCATCACCAATCCAAAGCTGTATAGCAAGAGATCCACCTCGCAAACGCAGGCCAGGATTGACGACGTACTCTCGTATTTGTCCTTGCCGACGTAAATGAAGGCTGCGGGGTCGACGGCCTTGGAGGTGAAGTAGTAAACCATGGCTGGGACTCTGTTGGCCGTGTCGGGCCGGTCGGACTTTCTGAGGTGGTAGCTTTGTGGTAGTTGCAGGGAAGTTGCAATGCGATTGATGCAATTGAGCCAAGACAAGAGGCACGACGAGTGTCAGTCAGTCAGTACCAGTCAGGTGCAGCAGCTCTCCCTCTTCAATCGCGTGCGTCGACGAGGCTGCAGTGTGGGGTAGCTGGGAAAGGTGGGCCGAGGATTTCCCGGGCGGCGGTGGTGGGAGCGCTTGGCCAAAATTTGATATCGCGGGCATCACCAGCAGCCCTCAGCGCTGAGCTCCAGGCTCTCGAATTACCGCATAACCAATCCCACCAAACAGCCCCCAATCCCGGCCGATCGGCTCCCCGTCGAAACCTCCACCCACCAGACCCGGCACGAGCCCCGAACCGGGCCCGCACACGCAGCAATGGCACCCAGGCTGCCGGCCCGGGGCTGGTCGGGGCTGCTGCCCCAGCTCTGCCTGCACCACCCCACACCCACACTCGCGACTACGACGACAAACCCGTCGGCACTAGCCGGCGGCGCACCGCTCCTCGTCGCCGCCAGGACGCCGACGTCGCTCCTCCTCCTGCCGCGGACGGCCAAGCGCGGCGTCAAGTACGGGTGGAGCACGCTCCCCAAGCGGGCCGCCAAGCCGACGCGCTTCAACCAGCAGACGGCCGGCATCCCGGCGCCGACGACGGGGCCGGCGGCGGCGCTCAAGCGGCGCGAGCGCACCACGCCCGTGCGCTCGGGCGTGCTGGCCGTCAAGAAGGGCATGACGGCCTTTTACACGCGGCGCGGCACCCGCATCCCCTGCACGGTGCTGCAGCTCGAGGCCGTGCAGGTGCTGCAGAGCAAGACGCGCGAGCACAACGGCTACTGGGCCGTCCAGGTCGGCGCCGGCCCCAAGAGGCCCGCCACGGTCCCCGCGCCCCAGCTGGGCTACTTCGAGGCCAAGGGCGTCGAGCCCAAGCAGCACGTGGCCGAGTTCAAGGTGCGCGGGCCCGAGGGCCTCCTGCCCGTCGGCGTCCAGCTCATGCCCGACTGGTTCCACATCGGCCAGTGGGTCGACGTGCGCGGCACCAGCCGCGGCATGGGCTTCGCCGGCGGCATGAAGCGCCACGGCTTCTCGGGCCAGCCGGCCTCGCACGGAAACTCGCTCAACCATCGCACCATCGGCTCGGCCGGCCCCTCGCAGGGCAGCGGGTCCAGGGTGCTCCCCGGCAAGAAGATGCCGGGCCGCATGGGCGGCGAGAGCGCCACGGTCCAGAACATGGCCGTGCTCCGCGTCGACAACGACCTGGGCATCGTCGTCGTCAAGGGGCCCGTCGCCGGCCCCAAGGGCGGCCTGGTCAAGATCCAGGACGCCGTCAAGAAGCCGCCCCCGCCCGAGAACTGGGTCCGCTCCTCGAGGGAGGCCGTCCTGTCCCGCCGCCCCAACCATGGCGAGCTGCTCGAGGCCGCCCGCAGGCGCCACCTGGAGCTCAAGGAGGAGAGGAAGTCGGGCAGGATAGGGGAGCTCGTCGCCCAGCACGCCCCGAACAAGGAGCCGTCTGTGGAGGACCTTGCCTTTGAGCAAATAGACGAGCCCTCTGAGGAGCCCTCCGAGGAGCTGGCTGTCGCGTAGAAAAATAGGGATTGATTTCAGGGGTATTATCATGGCTTGTGTGTGGCCTAAACATGCTCGAAAATGATACCCTTGTTGTAGTATATATCACGCGGACACGGAAATGCTCATTTGTTTTTTTCTTTTTCTGTTGTACATGGACCTGTAGTAGAGACATAGCTGGCGGGTTTTGTTGATGCAGAAGCAGTATAGATGCATGGAAAGGAGAGCATCCGTCACAATTTCCCACCTAGGCGCCCGCCGCCACCAACGCCGCTCATTTCTTGTTCATCTGCCTGAAGCCCCTGGTGGCGAGCTCGTCGTCGTCGTCAAAGTAGCCGTCCAGGCCCTTGTCGACCTGGATGCCCCTGAAGGGGTCGCTGCCGGCGAGCAGGTCGATCTTGGTGCCGTCCTCGCGCTCGAGGCTCCACTCGGTCGTCTGGAACATGCCTCGCGCCGTGGGGCGGGAGCTGGCGAAGCGCATGACGGCGGCGTTGCGGGTGCCCTTGACGGCGAAGCGGATGTCGATGCGGCCGTGCAGCTGGTTCATCTCGCCGCCGATCCAGGGGATCTGCTGCTTGAAGTAGATCTCGTCGCCCAGGTACGCGCGCGCCTCGGGCGACACGCGCAGCGCGTACAGCGTCGACGACACAACGGGGCTCGACATCTTTTGGTAGTTGAAGATGGCGACGCTGCTGGCGCCGATGATGGCCAGGAAGGCGGGGAGGGTGCGCGACCAGCGGAACTGGGTGGACTCGGGGTCTGTGTTTTTTTTTTTATAACATTGTTTGTTAGTGAGCGCTGTGTTGGAAAGATGCTGGCGACCACGGCGCCAATGCTCAGACTCGGGCCGGCAAAACTCACCGGGAAGCTCCCGATCGGCGCGGCGCTCCATCAGCGGGCCGTCGCCGGGCCTGGGCGCCGCCGAGACGCCCCGGCGCTGGGCTGGCGCGAGGCGCCTCGAGGCCGGCGCCCTGGGCAGGAGGCAGGCCCGCCTGCTTAATATCCTTGGCAGCATTGTTTTGTAAGGTTCTGATCTGCACCGAGACGTCGTCCTCGGTCGTCGTCGGGAGAGCTGCCCACAGTAAAATCAGCCCACACCGAAGCTCGGGACCCCCATTTGCAGCTTCCCAATCTTATCGCCGCCCGCCCCACTTTCGACCCCTGTGGAGCGGGCAATCCTAGACGCTGCGAAACGGCGCGCGCCAGGCGCGGGCGCATCAATGGTCACGACACAACGTCATCGGCGGGACCATCCCTCTCCAGCACTCCAACCCTCACAACATCTCACCCAACTCCCAACCCTCGACGGCTTGCCAACAACCACCCAACCCACAGGGGCATCCCCGACCATGTCGGCCATCCCGCGCAGCGCCACCGCGCGCCTGCGCAAGACCTTCCAGTACCCGACGGACGACTCGTCCTTTTCGGACACCCCCGAGATCCTCGACGAAGACGGTTGGTTTCTTTTTGTCTTTTTTTTTTTAGACCTCTGCCCTCCTCCCCCTCCAGGTAGGGGCCGAAAAAAAAAGAACCCTCCCGCTAACTACGCCATCGCCACACCCTCCCAAACTCCCCCACAGAACAAGAAAGCCTGATCCAGACGCTGGCGGAGCAGAACGAGGCGCGCAACCGCCAGTTCCGCCTCGTCATGCTCGCCCTGCCCGCCCTGTCGGCGCTGCCCTGCCTGGTGCTGCTCCCAGCCGCCCCGCCGCTCCCGACCCTGCTGTCGCTCAGCTCGCTCGCCTCGACCGCCTGGCTGCTGTACCGCCAGGACCCGACCGAGACGGGCATCCCGCGCCTCGACGCCTGGGCCGCCGCCCGCCACCACCAACACCACCCCGCTACCACCGACGACTACGACAACGACGACGACGACGACGACGACGGCCCATCGACACCCCTGTCCCCCGCAGCCCGTCGCCGCCACCGCGAGCGCCGCAGCCGCCGCAACTCGTCCTTCTCGCTGCCGGCCGGCGCGCGCCTGCAGCAGCGGTCGCCGCTCGAGACGCACCTGCCGCTGCTCAACGCGGGCCTGTGCGTCGTGCTGCTTCTCACGGGCCTGGCTATCGCGCGGGGCGGCGGCGGCGGCGGCGGCAGCGGTAGAGACGGCAACGGCAACGACGACGACGGCGCCGCCCGCCTCGGCCGCGCCGCGCTCGCCTGCCTCCCCGCCATCGTCTACGCCGTCGTCGTCGCCGCCAAGCTCGTCATGGCCAGCGTCGACCCCGAGGCCGAGTTGGGCGCGCTGAGGTACGAGGCCAAGGGCGCATAGGATGCCGAGGAATTGGTGTAAAAAAAACAGTGCCATGTCCGGTTCTTCGTTGTTTTAGTATTGTGACTTTGCCATGGGCTCTTTTTTTTTTAATGTTTGCGAGCGTTGGATTGGACAAATGAATTACGAATCGTTGTTTCTCTTTCCATTCATACTATATCATGCGCACGGATTCTTCGCAAAGGAACAGCAAGAGAAAGCGCATCAACGAAAAGGGGTTCGTTCCCTCATGTAATAACCCCCCCTTTAGAATGCACAGGGCCAAAAACATTTGGCACAATTCCAGAGACGCCATTTTGGAAGCCGAGACCCTTCTGCAACCCCCCCCCCCCGAACACAGCCGTCCTTTACTACGACATCTACGCATCTATCGTCTCGTTGAACCGTAGCACGCCGTTGGACTTGAGCATGCCGTCCACGCCCTTGGGCGGGCGGACAAAGGGGTCCGCAAAGGGCCCCGAGGGTTCTTGCGCCCTCTCCCAGGACTTGTCGATCACGAGCGCGAGGCCGTGCGACTTGATGGCGTCCACCAGCGCAGGCACCATCTCCTATTGTGGAACGGCAGGTGCCAGGTTAGCATAGCCAAACTTCTCCCAAGCTGAGGCATGATAAACATGGCCACAAGAGCAAAAGGTAACCTACCAGCAGACGAGAGCAACATATCAGACCCATGAAGTTGTTGCTCTGAGCCGTCCTGACCATCTCCTTGATTGAAGACGTCCTGCTTCCGCACGCCCGAATCACGTCTGGGGGCGGCATGGCGGCGGCGGTCGCTCCGGCGGCGGCGCCCGCCCACTCCTCCTGCCCGAGGTCGTTGCAGAGGAATACGGGGAAGTTTGGCTGCTTCCAGTTGAGCGCGGTGCAGAGGCTGGGGTTGTACGAGCTGAAGACGACGGAGCGGACGGCGTCGGGCGCCTGGGCCCGCTGGGCGCGGGCGTGGTCGAAGACCATCATCAGCACCGCGTCGACGAAGCCGTTCATGTCAGCGCTCGGCCCCAGGCTCAGGCTCCTCTCCTCTTCCGCCGTCGGGTAGATGATCTGCACGTTGACGTGCATCCCCGCGGGGAGCACCGCCAGCGCCTCCTGTAGCGTGATGCCCGACGTCGCCAGGATGCGGTGCACGTCCGAGATGCGGTCCAGTGGCAGCGTCGACACCGCCCCGAGCTCGCTCCGGCCCGGCGATGACGCCACCGCCGTGACGAACTGGTCGTACGCCAGGCGAGAGACCGGGACCTGGACGCCGCCGCAGGCGACCGTCCACAAAGGCCACAGCACCGGTACGCCGTCGCTCGTGTGCTGCACATATAACCTCACAAAGTCGCCCGAGAGGCTCGACCCGGAGACGAACATGCTGGGCTGCCCGTCCAGCTGGCTGGTGGCCTTCCAATACGTCTCGAAATCGGCAATCTCGAGCGGCACTCCCTGGAACGGCTTGATCACTTGCGTGTGAAAGCTGATCTGGCCGATGGCACGGAGCCTCGGATCGAAGAGTGGGAGGCAGCAGCTCCCCGAGCTGCTCAGCAGAGCCCGGAAGGTGTTGGGAAGCGCAACCGTCTTGGCGATGACCTTGGCGCCGTAGGTGGGGAAAACGTCAAAGTCCAGCGTGAACGAGTCGAGGTTGTCGATGTGGAAGGAAACGAGGCGGGTATCTTCTTGAAAGGGCAGAATGACGTTTTTCGGAATCACGTCCGAAACCTTTGAGGAAATGGTGAGTCGAGCAGCCGGGTACTTGCCGTCGTGGAAGAAAATAAGGGGCTGCTCCCCGCTCTCGTCAAACGTCAGCTGCACCACCGTCTTGGTGTCGAGGAAGTTGTGGCCGTAGCGCCGTAGCGGAATGATGGGAGGAGGGAGCTCGAGGACGGGGATGGCATCCGGGTCCAGAGCCATGGGCATGGGTGCGCTGCTGCTGCCCAGGCCCATGGGAGCAAGCGGCGTCGACATGGTTGGCACCATGCCCGGGCTCACCACCGGCCTGGCGCGGTTGAAGGGGCTGAGGAGCCTCATGCATTCCAGGTGCCCCTCCCAGGCCGCGTAATACATTGCGGGGAGATCCTTCTCGTCCAAGATGTTGGGGTCAACACCGGCCACCAGAAGAGCCTGGAGGCAGGGTACATTGCCTTCGCTGGCTGCGTGGACGAGAGGGGTCCAGCCATAGAGCTTATCCATCAGGTTGAGATCAGCTCCGTACTGCTGGAGCAGGAGAAGCAGGTCCGGAGTCTGGCCCGATCTTGCCACCAGGTGCTGCGGGTAAAGACCCTCGGCGTCGGGCAGGATCTGCGCGCCATGCTTCAGAAGCAGCTCGACAATCGCCCCAGAGCCGTGTTCGCATGCAAGATTCAGAGGCACATGATCTGTGTCCGAGGGCGGGTCGAGCCGCGCTGATTTCGCCAGGAGAAGCTGGACACATTCGAGGTGGCCGTGGATTATAGCGTGGATCAGGGGTGTAAAGTTGTCGTGATCTATCAGGTCGATGGTTTTCGGGTCCGCTGTACAAAGGTTAAACACGGCAAAATCAGCATCGTAGCAGAGCAAACAGCCAGGGCTCAGTCATCGCCAAGACCAGCTTACCATCAAGAAGAGCCGCAAGCATGTCGAGACGGCCGTGCATACTTGCATAATGGAGTGGAACGCGGCCATAGACGTCGGTTCTGCTCACCACAACACCCTTCGCCAGTCCGTACTGAAGTACGTAGGTGTTGCCGTATATGGTGGCCTGGTGAAGGCAGTTCCTCTCATTGATGTCATCCTCCGACTGCACGTCGACGAGCCCTGTGCTCAGAAGCAGCTCAAGAGACTCCTGGGGGCCTTCATTGATGGATGCCAGGAAGGTGCGCGTGATTCGTTCTCTGAGTGAAGGATCCATGGCCGACGAGGGCTCCGGGCCTGGTGAAGACCACATACGCCCGAGAAGATCCCGTAGGGAGTCCAGGCTACCAGACCGTACTGTGTCCAGGAGGAGTGTGTCTGCATCTCCCTCGTCGGTCCCCAGAAGGTGCTGGCTGCTCACAACATGCTCGCGCTGGTCACTAAAGCTGATCTGGTCGCCGTCTGCCCATGCGCCCAGTTCCTGGAGACTGGTTGTTGCTTGATCTGATAATTCGCTGATGACGGTGGCGTTGAAGAAGGGCTGAACCTCGACCGCTCTTGAGAGGTAAAGCTCCTTGGTCTTGGACTTGGAAGTCTTGTCCCACTTCTTCAGGATCTTGGAAAAGGCCGTGCCGTTGATCTCGACGAATTGCTGTAGTTTGTTCAGGTCGTTGGCGAACTGCTGGAACCCCTCCTGGAGAGTTGCAAACTTGGCAGATTTTCTTGATATGCCATGGCTCCGGGACTTGACGAGCTTCTTCTTGTCAAGGAGGGTCCGGAGTCTGATCTTGAGCTGTTGGCAGAATCTTCCGCATCAGACGCGTACTTCCCAGAAGTCGCGAAAGGGATAAAGATGGAAGACAAAAAACGAACCTCGGCTTCTTTTTGGAGGTAGAAGGCGTTGACCTTCTCCAGTTCACGTTCCTGTGCCGTCGCCTTTAGTAACCCGAGACCCCGAAGGACACTCATTGCGACGGGAAGCGCTCTTCATCGTACCAGTTGGAAAAAGAAGGTCGCCTTGTTAGCCTGCAGGGCAGCTTGGGAGTCTATAGGGCCGGCAGGATGGTGGCCCCCATTCTGAGCGCTCAGGACAGGAGTGGCCGAGAGCCTCTTGATGAGCTATATGGCGCATCGTTAGCGGCGCGAAACGGGGCACACTCGGCTTTGGACAGGGCAACTAGGGCTTCAGGGGAAGCGGCCCGGTGAACATCTTGGGCAAGGTCGCACTGTACGTGCTGCTCCAATGCTTGCTTTTGTGTGCTCATTGTGCTGACTCTGTGTGGAATTTTGTCCAGCGGGGGGCCCAGGAAAATGGGGTTGGCTCACCTTTTTCAAAGCCTTGTAGTTGACAAAGCTTGCTGCATACTCGGGGACCTCAAGCTGCCGTTTCTGGATTTGTTTTCCAAACTTCCTACAACAGCACAGACTCCAGTTAGCGGGCACCTATCTGGAAGGAAAGCTGCTAGGCCAGTGGTAAACACCACGCTCTCTCACCGTCTCAACCGGCCTTTTCTTTTCGAGTGGAGGACTTCTCACATAGTGCGTAGGTGGGGCGCAAGCCGGAGGCAGGAGGTGGCAAGGGTGTTCTAAAAAAGGAATAAGAACGGCCAGCCGAGGGCAAGTCCGAGAGAGAGATGGCTCGAGAACAGGATGCTGTAGGTCGCTCGGGACGGCCGCATGCGGGAGCAGGACGAATGGCGGCTTGCAGGATCGCGTTGACCAACGTTGCACCAACAGGCGTGAGCAACGACTGGCTATCCTGGGGCTCCTGCTGCTAAAGAGTCATGTCAGGGTTTGCCGTCGCATTCGTTGGATGTTTGTGAGACGACAATGTGAGGGCCCGGCACATGGGTTGCTTTGTGGCACAATAAACAGCTTGCGAGAGGGGAAACGCGGACCACGATAGAACGTCATGGAGTCGAGTGCACCCACCCAGGGCAGAAAAGAAGGATCTGGCCGCCGGAATGCACCGAGGTGCGTCATGGTCCGCCTCGGCATGCGAGCACAGCTCCGCGGAGAGGGAAAAGAAAAAGAAAATGGGGCCAGAGGGTAACGAAGGGGCGACCGGCTGGGCACCACAACCCACTCCACACAGAGAGGGTGGAAACAACAAGGGTGTTGGACGGCCTGCATCGTCCGTTACCCGCTTAGGTACCCAGTCACAACTCCCAAAGGGGCCGACGGCAGACGGCATGGGATTTTAAGCAGCTCCATAGCATACCTGGGCAGTACGGCTAAGCCCCGTGGCCTGTCGAGGCAGGGCAAAGACTCGGATTCGTTAACTGCTGGGGGCAAGTAGGCAAGCCGCCTGTGTGGGGGTCAGCTACACACCAGGTGTACATTGCTCATGCAAGCTGACGGGAATAGGCGACGGCAACCGCCCAAGTACTGTGCAGAGCCAGGCAGCTTCGCTCGACTTGGCATGGGAGTGGTGGGCAGGGCTAGGGTTGTCTGTCAGGATCTTACAGAGTGACAACAAGGCGTGGTGATGCAAGGGCCCGCCTGACCCAAATTTCCAGCAGCTGATTATATCACAAGCCGGTGCTTGAGAATATGGTGACACGCCCAACGGTGAGATGTCTCGAGATATCTACCCTGAACCTCGACACCTGTCAGACTACAGATTCTGAGAACTACCAAGGCGGTCAGCCCATTGTCAACATCTGAATGGGGATCAGGAGAGACGGGCCCGACAGGCTAGATTGGTACAAGAGGTTAAAGCAAAAGATTTCATGGAGACCGAGGTGATTGGGAAGCCGGTCAGATTGTCTGCCAAGGTTGTAGGCGCAATACAATATTATTGGCTCTTTTTATAGATAGGCTTGGGGGTGAGGGCAGATCGGCGGGCAGGGGGTGGGAAGGTAGGTAGGTGAACGGATATGGAAGCGGCTAGGATTGTTTTTATCGGTATAGGAGCAAGGTGCAGAATGCGGATAGCAAGGCGCACGCTATTCGAAGTAATCGAGCAGATCGCTCTCGTTGGCAATGCCGAGAGGCTCGAGTGGACAGAAAGCCGTACCTGAAGAACGGCGCTTTGGAGTCTGCCGCCTTGCTAGGTGACCAGGTGCCTAGCTACCTCTAGGTACCTAGGATGAACCAAGACTGGTAGGTGAAGCTCGGCCGGCAGGCAGGCTTGGTGGTTGAGCCGTAGCTTGCTGTGATGATGCCTCGATTCAGCTGTTCTGTGACTTTCTGGCGTTGTTGGGCGTTGCAGGGGGTTTTGATGCCCAGGACGAGTTTTGAGGGGGGTGGGACGCAGAGTGTCTTGGGCTCGCCCGCAGATTGCAAGCTCGGCTTCCCACAGCAGGCCTTCCCACTTTCCCGCTCTCGAGAACAGTGCTGGTACGATGGCGGCGGCTGTGGACGCATTTGCCAACCCGGGGCCCCCTTTGCTTCCCTCTCCCTCTCTCAACCCGCAGAGGTCCCAGTCACCCGTCAGGACGGTGGAGTTAGAAAAGCCGTTAGTGGTACGTACCGTCGAATGTGGCGCCGGGCCTCGGCAGCTATCCCTGTTTCTAGAAGGCGCGGGCGTCCAATGAGCGGCGGCCGTGCGCCCATGTGCTCGCTTGACACGTCGAGCGCGAGGCTGAGGACCAGCTGTGTGGGAAAGTGTGCTGCGGGCGGGGTGGGGTTCGTGCGTGCGAGTTTTTTTCCGACCCAAAAGCAGAAGCCAGGCCGATGCGACGTTAGGAAAGGGCGAATGGAGGGGTTGGCCAACTGTCGGGATATTTCAAATTCTGGCGGCGGGTCCCCACGCTGCCTGCCCCTTTCGGCCGAATTCTGCAAAAGGACGGGCGAGCAACAGACGAGAACTCACATTGCAATAAGCTCCACGCGGACAGATAATTACTGGGTACTCGGGCATGTCGCAACAAGCTAAAGAACAGCAGCTATGGTAGCGCGTTTCATGTGACTGCCAACCTCGATGGTTTACAGGTTCACAGCTCACAGCTCACAGCTGCCATTTCTCAGGCCGCCTTTACGTAGATCCGCTGCCACTTCTCCCACGTGGGCTCGTGATCAGAAGCAAATCCTGAGTGAAATCCGACCTCTGGGAACCAAAGGGAAATGATAGGTCAAGTGGCTGGGCTGCAGTTCTGTAGCCCAGAACCCTAACCCAGCCGAATACCGAAAGGTTATGATTATCCTCTTCAAAATGTGGAAATGAAATATCAATGCATCTACGCTCATGGTAAAATCTAATCATCAAAAAAACAGGAACCCCCTGACCACCTCACGCCAACATGGCCTGCCGCGCCGCTTCTACCCTGGCCGGCGCAGGCACTCCCTCATCCTCTGTGGCTGCCTCGACCTCTGGTGTTGGCAGCTTGGTATTAGGGGCGCTGGGCAGAGAGACCCCCGAGACCTCCTCCTCTAGTGCCGCCAGCTCGACTTCTACCTCGTCCTCGTCCTGATTTGACATGCTGCCTCCGAGCATTTCGCTGATTTCCTGCATCGCAAACCGAATATCACGTCAGTAAACAACCCACCTCAACGCCGGGGCAGCATGCGCATTGCTCCGCTCCGCACTGCATCATCGGAAACTTGCCTTCTGGTACGCAATCGCGTCGGCCGTATCGCCCATCAGCTTCTCGACGTGTTCTATGCCACCCATCTCCTTGTGGATCTGCTCCAGCACTTTGGTGCCCTGCTCCAGACCGAAAACGACGTCCTTGGAGATGAGGGCGAACTCGACGCTGTTGACCAGCTTCTCCAGCTGGTCCAGCTGCGCGTCTGTCTTGGACAGCAGCGATTCCTGGTACTTTTTGCGCCTCAGCGCCAGCAGCGCCCGCTTCTTGTCGCCCTGCGCGAGCATCCGCCGCGCGATCTCCGTCTCCTTGTCTGTGAGCTGCGTGATGCGCTTCTGGTACCTGTGGAGCTTGTCCCGCTGGTTCTTTAGGTCCAGTATTGCCCTATGGTGTTGTTATGGGCGGCGTGGCCCGAAGAGTTAGCAGGGGGGCGGCAGTTTATGCGTTTTGCGCATCACCGTGGACACTTTGGAGGGCGACGATGGTTGCGCACGGCGTGCTGCGTGGGCACGCGACCTTTCCGAGGGGAAGCGCGTACCTGTCCTGGCTGGTGACTTTGCTGCCATTATTGCCCATCGTTGGCTGCACGGCTGCAACAGCGTATGGTGTGGGCGATTGAGGCGGTTGGTGGGGATCGCAGCGGAGATGCGGAAATTCACCGCCAGCCCTTTAGTCGCATTCCAGGTGGTGTTACTTCTGGTGTCGGCGTCGGTGTCGGTGTCGGTGTCGGTCAAGACTCAAGGGGAAGCCAGTCCGAGTCGGGCGCTCGTCATAGGTCACATTGGCCCAAACACTCCCGCGCGGGATTGCTGGATTCAGTCGCCCGCTCCGCCCGACCAGCGGCGTCGGGGACAGCACCCCCGACTTATCAGACGATAAGTCTGCTGTCTGCGTCATGTGGCGCTTGTCTGCTTTGGGCCTGCTGCCACACTGCTTCGCGGGGCAGTCGCAGCACAGTGGCTGAAGCTCACGGCCAAGCATGATGTGGCGTCAATCGTCGTCACCATCACTACAGCGAAGGCCCCTGCGATCCTTGTGAGAGAGCCCCTCAGCGTGTCCATCATGCGTACCAAATAGCCGACCAGCGAACCGTGTCGCATGTTACGTAGCCTCTTGACAACAACACAAGGAGCCCTACAAAACGAGGAGGCCATCGTGATTGTATCCGCGACCACATTCCCGGTGAATTTAAGACGGCCTGGTACCTTTTGAGGACATTCATAGCCCCCCCCCAACAACACGAGCCAACTGCAGCTCCCCGCGACCCGCCATGTCTGCGCCAACCGATGCCGTGAGTCGAGACTATATGTCCTTGCTGTATCACGAGTCTCAAACAAGTCGCCTCATGCAGCCGTCACAGCCGTCATAGTCGTCCCCTAACCTAGACTGCCTAAGATCAACCTTTGAGCAAAACTAGTGTTCCCTCATCATCGCCGCTAACTCTACGACTCTCTAATCCGGTCCTAGAACAAACCTACGACGCCAGTTACGACAGCTCCAGGCCCCGAGTCACCAACCACGGCGAGGCCGCTCGAGATGGACGACGACGACGTCCAAGAACCCGGAGTGCTCGAGACGTCAGGCGCTGGCGCCGCCTCGACGACCGCCGCTGCCCGCGCGGGAGAAGATGCGCCCCCAGCCAAGCCGCCCCGGCCCATGACCGAGCAGCAGAAGAACCAGATGATGCTCAAGGAGGCGTTCCCTACCTTGGATGAGGCCGTCATCAAGGCTGTACTCACTGCCAGCGGTGGCCGGATTGACCCTGCCTTCAACGCGCTCCTCGGTATGACACAGCCTGCTTCGCGAGTACCCGTATAAAAGACTTACTATATCCGTGACTGACACTCTTCGTTCCCAACCCGATCGACAGAGATGACCGACCCCGACGCCGCCAACCGCGAGGTCGAGGACGAGAGCCCCCCAACCCCGCCGCCGCGGCCGGTCGCCGCTCCGGGGGCGACGCCGCAGTCGCAGCTCGAGGCCGACGAACTGTACGCGCGCCAGCTGGCGCAGCATTACGAGAATGTCGGCGCGTACGAGGAGCGCACCAGCAGCCGCCCGCCCCGCCAACAGACGGGCCTGGACCCGAACCGGGCCCTCGGTGGCGCCGGCGGCACCCGGGGCCGGGGACAGCACCAGCAGGAGCCCGAGCGCAGCTTCGTCGACGACGACCTGCCTATCATCAAGGAGAACCTCCGCAAGGGCTTTGAGGAGACCCAGAAGACGGTCAACACATGGTTCCAGACAATGAAGAAGCGCTTCGACGAGGAGTTCGTCGACGACCAGCCCCAGCACCAGCAGGGCCGCCCCGGGCAGCAGGGCGGGCCCTCCAGGGGAGGCCGTGTTGGCGGCGACGCGGGGAGGCGCAGCGGCGACTACGAGCGATACGACGCCGACCCCCAGGTCCTCAGCGACGACTTTGCCGGCATGAAGTTCCACAATGACGGCAGTGAGTTTCACAAGCATCCCCACCGCCCTTGATCCTTTCTGTTCCATCAGAGCCCCGCCGCCGCTGACACGCCTATCCTCCCACAGCACCCGTCAGCGCCCGCAACTCGCCAAACCCCAACATCTTCCGCCCGCCACCGCCCTCCAAGTCTCCCAGGCCCGGCGAGGACCGCAAGGTCTCGTTCCGCGACGAGGCCGACGAGATCGGCGACGTGTACAACGTCTCGCCCAACCCAACGGGCACCGCGGGCGGCGGCGGCGGCGGGGCGGCCGCCAAGTCGAGCAAGTGGCAGCCCCTGTCGACCGTCGACCCCAACCCCATTGCCGAGAACGACCCGTTCAGCCTCGGGGACAGCGACGACGAGAAGGACGCCGCCGCCAACGCCAGCAAGGGCCCTGCCGCCGCCGCCGCCGCCGCCGCCGCCAAGCCCACCTCCCCTGCTGGCGAGATAAATATGGAGGACGCCGAGAGGCTGCGCAAGGCCGCCGCCGAGGCCATGAACGAGAGCCTCGTCGACGACAAGAAGGCGGGGGCCGATGGCGCAAAGAAGACCTAGCTTTCTTAGATTTCGCGCAGCCTGGTGGTGTGAGGTTGATGAACGAACGAATCGAGTACCCCTTGGCCTTGGCGGCAGATCTATACCAACCCGTGTCTTTTGTGAGCGATTTGAGGGATTCAGATATCGTAGTTTTATTTTACTTTGCCAATACGACGCCTAGTGTACGTTGTCAGCAACCAGAACTACGTTCGCTCCGCCCCCGAAGATTTAGGATGGACGATGTGACGAGTTTACGACACATATTGAAACTTGGTGACGGAGCAGAGCACATGCAGAGAAGCCCCCTATTCTCAGTCCAAAGTATGCAGTGTTCAGTTTTGTGCCGAATCAAGCCGGCAACCAGATTTGTTTGAATTCAAAGCATCGCAGCTGGAGGCCAAATCCGCCACGGCCAGCCTCGCCAAAAGGTGTGCCATTTACCAAAGACACGCCCCGTGGTAAACCACCACACACGCAAGATATAAACACAACGCCAATAATGCAACGCGGGTATCATCCCTGTTGAAAAAGACAACAAGACTCGAGAATTCCGCACCCTGGATATCATGCTCCTTGAAGATGACCATGCACCCTAATGCTCCGACCTGCCCTTCTAACATGACCAATTACCCCAAATCCGTGCCGAGAGCCGAAACAGGTATACACAGAAAAGATTGCCCTGTTGCAAAGTTTTCAAGGGATGGGCTGGATTCCCATCAGAAAATAACAAGGCTGAAGGGGGGGAAACATGTGCAAGAAGTTGAACGAGGTGTTCGAGACACTGCTCAGTCGAGTTGAATGTATTCGCTTCGCTGGTGTGCTGGCGCGGGGGGGTGCTGGGGCCTTGGGACACCACCAAGCCCATTAGGAGGATATGTTCGCGGAAGGTATTCTGGATTGTTATGAATGGGGAATCTGAGAGTAGAGGTTAGCGAGAGGACTCCTCAAGGGGAAGCATGTCACGAGAAACTTACGATTGGTCGCCGGATGGGCCTCCCAAGAGGGAACGGCCATGTTGATCAACATTGATTGGAGTGAACCCGCCCCCGTAGCGGCCCGTAAAACCGCCAGCTGCCGCTGGATGGTGCATCTGATCGTCAATGCGGATCCTCTCATAGAAAAGCGGCGATGGCGGTCGTGCAGGCGCAGGCGCGGGCGGATGTGGATTTGGTTGAGAGTATACGCCGGCGACCGGCACATACTCGCGTGAGGGTTGACGCTCGTAGCGAACCCCTCCCGCTCGTAGTGGCTGCGCGTAACCGTGAGGCGGTGTCCTCCGAGGGAGTTCGCCCAGGGCAGTGACGGGTGCATGGCCCCCGCCCTGTTGCATCCTCATATCGCCTTCATATTTCAGATGTGGCGTGTGCTCCGGATGCACGCGCCGCGAGGGCACGAGTAGAACCCTCTGCGCGCCATGTTCCCAGTCCTCTACCACAATCGGATGCCGCTCCGTTCTAAGGATGCGGCTCTCCTGATAGTCAAAGCCAGGAGGAACCCTGGTGTCTGTCCGCATGACGGGCCTGGGGTCATTGTTTGGTGGTGCCCTGGAATAGGCCACAACATGGCCATCCCTGGGTCCAGGCCTTTGAACCTCTCGAGGGATATGCCCGGGGTATGATGGGGACCGTAATCGCATAGGTTCCATATACCCCTCGAGGCCACCCCTGGGCAGCGGCGCGGTGGATCCATATGGAGCCCTTGCGTCTTCAGGATGGCGCTCATCATCGACGCGTGTCCTGCTAGGCAGAGGATCACGCTCTCGGACAAGATATGGGACAGTAGAATGGTGCAAACCGCGATCCAATGGGCTCCTCGACCGTCGCCTGACTGCTTGACCATTCACAGAGGGTCGATGCAGAAGGTGAGGTTGCGGTTGTTGAGACCTCGGCGGCAACGAACGGACAAAGATAGGGCTTGATGAATCATCTGCCTGTGGAGACCTGGGCTCAACGGAAGGCACCAAATAATCCTTGAGCTCGGGGCGCTCGGTTGTAGGTCGAAGAGCCCTGTAATCCACTGGATTCTCGTGCTCACTGATGACCGGGATGCCTCCATGAGATACAGTGTGTTGATAGGCCCTTCGGTAAACTGGTACGGGCTCAGGGCCAGCCACAGGAGGCAGAGACTCACGCGCCTGCACCTCCTGGCCCCCTTGGTGGCTTGGCAGATTATGGTGGTCGCGCGGTACCGACGGTCGCCCATACAGATCGAAAGGCTGACGTGATGTCTCCCGGGCTTGAGTCTGATCTGCTTGGCCAGCCGCACCTGCCTTAGGGGTGGCAACCGGCCGTGAGGCAGATGCATCTCGGGCAGGCTCATGGCGAACTCTGTCCCTGGCCTGCTGCCACCTGCTCTGGGCAGCAGCTTCGTAACGCTGAACATTGCGGGAATTGAGTCTTCTGTGAACTGGCCTGCGGAGCTGGAAATCATGTGGGATAGCCTCATCGTAGATGACGACATCTCCGACTTCTGGCATATCAGGAACGACAATGGCCTGGTCAGTCGGAGGGTCGCCGCTGGAGATACTACCTCGGGAAGCAGTGCCTGGCCGACTGTCATCACTAATATCATCGTCGGAGGCGTCCGAGTCCGTGTCGTCATCCGAGTCTGAATCCTCAGAGTCCGAAATGACAATAATCTCCCGAAGGATCTCGTCAAGTTGATCCCGGCCGGTCTCTTCGTCTCCACGCCACTTGACGAGGAAGTCCAAGCACACAGATTCAACAGCCTTTCTGGCATTGCTCCAACCGACCTCCCGGATGAGTTGGTCGTATCGTGTGTGCGTGTGGCGAATGTGAGCAAGAACAGCAAGTTGGACGCGGCGGGAGAGAGTGATATTCGCTGCGAGGCCAACGGTCCGGTTTTCCTGGCCCTAAATCAACCACGAATTGGTTTCCGAACCCAGCAATTGTTGACGCAAGGGGGGTTGGCTTTGAAGGGCACTGGCATACCTTGCGGAAAGAATGATCGATGATCATCTGCCGATCAGTGTTGGGCATTCGGGGAAAGAGATCTCTTATAACGCCATCCGCCTGTGCGTTTATCTCATCCTGCGACTCCGGGATCGGCTCCGGATTGCCAGTCACGGTCTCGAGGAAGTACTCCAGCGGCTGGCCCAGTTGCGCACGAGCCTCTTCAACAATGGTGCGCCTGATGTGATGGCCTACCCTGTTCATATGGATCCCTAGTCGATTCGCATCCGCCTCTTTGGCGTCCTGGGCCGATTTTTAGCACATGAGAACATCGTGGTAGCTAGATGGGGCAATGGAGGGGGTGCATAGCGAGCGTACCGAAACGATGAAGATCATAGCGTCCTGTCCTCGGGACAGTTCCTTGCAGGCTTTGGTCAAGTCGGGATTCCCAACAGGCACAAACTCAAAGCCGGGAGGGGGCTCTCGTGCGGTCGTGACCTGGCAGCGGGGGATCATTGTGAGTCAAAGAAAGAGAAAGAAACAACAGAGCATGCGGAGATAAATGAGAACAGGAACGAGGTCCCCGGGCCTAGGCCTGTCGGGGCGAGAGTCGCTCTGCTGGCTGCCTACCTCGAACTCGAGCTTCTTCTTTTTGTCCTTGTTCTCAACAAACTCCAGATAGGTGCGGTGCTTGGAGGTGATGACGGGGGCAGGAATCCTCGCGACCACGCCTGGAGGCAACGGTCCAGGGGTGATCCGACGATCAGTTTGATGGCGGAGTCTCTTCTGCCTCTTCTTGGCAGGGCCCGCACCAGCAGCGGCGCGGGCCCCCGCCTTGCTCTTCTTCTTCTTCCCCATGGGTCCTGAAGTTCTAGAGATATCACAACCTTACCATGGCAGGAGCAAGACGCAGGTCAAGGCGCAGAAGAGGACGTCAAAGTCATCCAAGGGAGCTGCCAAGAGGCAGGGTGAAGGAGAAAGGAAAAGTGGGAACCAAGCAGGGAGGGGGACGAGCCGGCAGTCCTTTCCGGAGGACTGGGCTTGGGGTGGGTAGACCCGAGGGTGCGCGGGGCGGGGCGCGGTGAGATCGCGAATCAGGGTCGACGGTCCAGCTGAGCCTTACGATAACCCAAAGTGACTAGTGAAGTGGTGTCCAGGCTCAGCAAGATCAGAGCTTGCTGAGCTGCCGGATGGAATGATTGAAGGGATCGTGTGAAGGTGGGTGGGAAGCACGTGGGGGAGGCGGGACTGGAAGCCCGGCCTGGAGCACACGCGATGCTCGTCCAAAAGCGGGAGGTGGCCAAGGCAGGCGGCAACGACAGACAAGGCGAGGAGGGCTGGCCACGCCGTTTGATCAAAAGCACAGAGAATCCGAACAGAGACGCAGTTTGAAAAGTCGGCCACGGCCGGCTGTCCGGTAGAGAGAGAATGGAAGCGCGCTCACAGAGAGTCCTGGGATGCTCACGGCGGAGCAGCAGATGGCAACTTTGCGTTGTTATGGGTTTGGGCTTCACGCGCGAGTCGTCGGGCGAGGACGAGTTGGGGTGGAGTCTGGGCTCGGTCGGGCTCGACCTGACCTTGGGATGGGTACGTCACCTGATGGGGCTGTGGATGACTAAGCAGAAGTCGTGCATAAATCACGTGTGCATGACTTGACGGACGCCCGCTCCCCTGCAGAGAGACAAGGAGGCAGACAGGTACAGATAGGCGGGAAACAAGCGGAAAATAAGCGCAGAGAATACGCGGGGCCGCCCAGGACAGGAATGGAAACCGGAGCCTAGCGGGAAGACGCAGGGAACGACGCATGAGAGCCCAAATCACTGGAATCGAGCTGGCCCGATTCAGCAACGGAAGCCCGTGCTTTGGACGGTGTGGGAGCCAAGCCGGCTGACAAGCCACTCACATCGCAGGACGGGCCCCGCCCAACTGCATCTACAGACCTCACAAGCTCTTGAGGTCCTGCCACGTCCGACTCTGTCCTGACAGCACGCATATAATGCGGGATGCCCAGCATTAGTTTGGCGCCCGAAACTTGTCGTGGCTGACGGTGGGCACTCGCATGCGCCTCCTTGGACCCTCACTGGCTACTGGTGACCAGTAGCGCTGGGCGGCAGCCATGGCCGACCTCGATCTGGGAACTTCGTTTATCCCTGCCCTGCATAAGCCATCGTCGTTGCTGCCCATCGCAAAGCACAGGGAAGCTCTGCTCTACCTTATCGAGACGAACCCAGTCACCATCGTGGTTGGCCAGACAGGGTCCGGCAAGAGCACGCAGATACCACAATTCCTCGAGAATGCAGGCTGGTGCATTGATGGCAAGGTCATTGCAGTTACCCAGGTTAGTTGGTCATACCCGAGTGCTCTTTGGGTTAGGTACTATGCAGCTGACACCGCGGACAGCCACGCCGAATCGCCGCAATAAATGTCGCTCTGCGGGTGGCTGAAGAATTCGGTTGTGAAGTTGGGAAGGAGGTCGGCTACTCTATCCGCTTCGAGGACCTCACCTCCGACACCACGAAAATCAAATTCATGACAGATGGACTTCTTATTAGAGAGGCACTGGTGGACCCCCTTCTTTCAAGATACTCTGTGGTTATGGTGGATGAGGCACACGAACAAACCATCAGCACAGACATCCTCCTAGGACTCCTGAAGAAGATCCGCAAGCGAAGGCCAGAGCTGAGGATCATTGTCAGCAGTGCCACTCTACAGGCAGAAGCATTCCTTGACTTCTTCTCGGGTACAGCCGCGGAGAGCTCCGGGAAGGAGAAGAATGATGGCAAAGTCGGAACCATCGTGAGCCTTGAGGGCCGCACATATCCGATCGACATCCTCTACCTGGAAACCCCAGCAGAGGATTACCTGGAGAAGGCGATTGCTACGGTTTTTGAGATCCACGAGAAGGAGCCAGATGGCGACATTCTTGTCTTCCTCACGGGGAGGGAGGAAATAGACACAGCTGTCGAGGCAGTCTCAGAGCGGGCCGGCCAGCTCCCCTCCAGTGGCCACGGACTCCTGGCACTTCCGCTGTATGCTGGACTGTCAATGGACCAGCAGATCTACGTATTCGATGAGGCCCCAGAAAATACCCGGAAGGTTATATTCTCGACGAACATCGCCGAAGCATCGGTGACCATCGGCCGGATCGTATACGTTGTCGATTGCGGATACGTAAAGCTTCGTGCCTATGATCCCAGGACCGGTATAGAGACACTCACCGCCGTCCCGGTCTCCAAGGCAGCAGCCTCACAACGGGCTGGACGAGCAGGACGGACAAAGCCGGGCAAGTGCTTTCGATTATACAGCGAGGAGGCGTACCTTTCCCTTGCAGACGCCAACATACCCGAGATCCAACGTTCAAATCTCGCACCGTTCATCTTACAACTCAAGGCGCTTGGCATCGACGACGTCTTGCACTTCGACTACCTCAGCGCGCCGCCCGCAGAGCTAATGACCAAGGCCCTGGAGCTACTTTTCTCGCTCGGTGCCTTGGACGACTACGCGAAACTTACGAAACCGCTAGGGATGAGAATGGCCGAGCTCGCCACGGAGCCGATGATGGCCAAGACGCTGCTCTCCGCGGCCGAGTTTGGCTGCGTCAGCGAAATTCTGACCATCGCCGCGATGACCAGCGTCGGAGGCAACGTGTGGGTGCAGCACGATGGGGAGAAGAAGAGGCTCGAGAGCACGCGCAGGAGGTTCGCGGCCGAGGAGGGCGATCACCTGACCCTGCTCAACGTTTACCAGGCCTTTGTGAGCAAAGGTCGCAAGGACGCGCAGTTCTGCCACGAGAACCTGCTCAACTTCAAGACCATGAGTAGGGCTGTGAGCATACGCGCGCAGCTAAAGCGATATCTGGAGAGGTTCGGCATCAACGTGGAGGAATCCTTGGCGCCGAAACCGGCGGCGGACGATCCTTCCACCAAGGCCGAGCAGGTCCGGCGGTGCCTCACGACGGGCTACTTTGCGCAAGCGGCGCGGATGCAGGCGGACGGGAGCTTTCGAAACATTCAGGGAGGGACCGTGCTGCACGCGCACCCGAGCTCGCTGATGTTCAATAGGCGGGCCGACTGGGTCATTTTCCACGAGGTCATGGAGACTGGCAGCAAGACCTTCATCCGGGACATCACCAAGGTGGAGAAGAGCTGGCTTGTCGAGTATGCGCCTGGGTTCTACCAAGTAAAATAGACAGGATCCGTACAGAAAATGGCACGTTGCGAATAAACAAGGCAGCTCTGGCGGACGGACATTCTACATGCTTCATAATGGTGGGATGGCGTTATTGCTGAAACGCCCGCGATGCGACCGCGGGGATTGGGAAAACATAAAAACAACAGCAACAAAAATTAAGGACGTGTTGAAACGTGAAACATGTCAGTAGGTAGCTCCCACAGGCATTGCGTCTGCGGCGAACCCGCCTCCCGCCCCATCATGGGCATCCTGGCCGAGACAGGACAGCACCTCAAGCGGCAGACGTTGAACACTCACTGGCGACTGCAAGCCAGGACGGGAGGACTCCTGCACGCGGACACCATCCGTCTCCCAGCGATCAGGACAACAGGTCAACATGCAAAATTAGCACAGAACACAGTGCGGCAAAATAGGTACTTCCTTCCGGGCGTAGTGCGGGCAGCTACTGCGAATGGCGGCAGCCAATGCGAAAAAGGATTGAATGGCGGGTGAACGGTCAGGATCCCGGCCGCTGGGCAAGGAATATTGAGTTTGTTCGCAGCGGAGAATGTGGCTTGTCACTGCCACGTCCACGGACTTCGGGTCGCGGGATGACGACACACCCGCACTCAGCATGCAGGCGACCGAGCGGCAAGACATGATGCGAGAAGTACTGGATCTTGAAGGCATTGACGGTCTGGCGATATATTTATTGTGTCACTACCTGGTGTTTGGTTGGAAGCCGAGCCACTCGACTGAAAAGAGATTTTTTAACCATCACCAAAAAATGAGCTCCTATTTCGAGCCAATAGGTCGAGTGACAAGGAGTCAGGATCTGCGCAATAACGCTAAATTGCGCCAACCTTTGCGCAAGGTGGGCTGTGATAGGCTGGCCATAATTCCCGATTCCGACCGAGCCATTTTTTCTGCTGTAATAGTAGCCTTCCAACCTTCTTATTTGTTTTGTTTCTTTTGCTATTTTCCTGCTGGACGGCATGCAACGTCACGCACGTGATGGGCACCCCCTCTCTGTGTCTATGTCGCGCAACCTGGTGGCGTGCGAGATGGCTGGGCGTAGTGCAACATCGAGGACGTGCCACAGGATGGAATGTGCCAGAGGCAGGCTCTGAATTTGCTGTGGTCCTCGCGAAGAACACGCACACACGGTAAACATTGCGTTGCCTAGCGCCCCTGAAGCGCTGGATTTGAGCAGTGTGGCCCCATCGGCTTCCCCATAACGCAAACTGAGCACGCAAATTGCCAATACCAACAGCTAGGCGATTCCATCGCGGCTCTTGACAGTGAATCTCGCGTGGTGTCTGCGACATTTTCCCCCTTCGCTTGATGCTCGATCGCTGCGGTCGCGGGTTGCCAGCGGCAGCGGCCGGCATCAGGGCCAGCAGCTGGTAAACAGTGCCGCTCCGTGCAAATCCTGCTCACATCCTGGACAGCTCATTTCGGCAATGTACCATCCCACAATTTCGACAGGAAGGACAAAGGCTGCTTGGGTCGGCCAAGCTGAGTGGCTGACAAAGTAGGGCGACGGCCAATCTCACCCGTCCGACCGCAAGAACCCCCGGCGGGGGACAATATTAGCGTCTTGGTTCCAATATGATCTGGACCGCAGCGCCTGTCCCCATCCAGTGGGCCCAATCAGAAGAGAGTTCGGTGGAGGCCCAGCGCCCAGTCAGACGCGCGGCGGCCAATCATCAACCTCCCGTACCTTGCATCGGTCCCCGCCTGCATGCCAACAGGGGCGCGGTCGAACCAGCGAGTAACTGGGGCTCAGGAACGGGGGTTCCCCTGGCTTGCTGTTGGAATGGCTGGCTCTGGGACGAAGTTCCATCTGGAGGCGGGCGCAGCGGGTAGCACAGAGAGGATCGCTCCTCCCTTTTTCAACGTCGCTGGGCAGGCCCTCGGCAACCCCCTCTTCTTATTTGAGCGAGATGAGATGGGCCCCCACACCCACACCCTGCCGCCCAAGGACGTCGCCAGCGCGCGAGTGCGCCAATTGCTGGCAATCTGCCGCCCGCCGGTCCATCCACAGTGCAAGGCCTTGTGCACCCGCTTCGTTCCACGATGGGCCTGCCTCTGCCCGCGGGCCAGTAGGCTTTCCAATTGCGTCTCCTCTCCGAGGCCTGTCGAGCCCTGGCCATCCTTTCCCCCCTGCCGGGCCCATCGCTCCATCCGACCTCCCGTCCGTCTTTCTTTTCTTCGACCTTCACGCTGCATGAAATCCATCACCACCTGATCCTGCCGTCCGACGGGCCTCGCTTTCTTGCTTGTCACTCCTTTGCAACGGCTGTCCTCTGCCTGACTATCGCCGACTGGATCAAGTCGTGCTTCCACTCCTTTGATTATTCACTCCCTAATTCTAAACAAACAGCCTCCTAGCAGGCGCGCCGTTCCCTTCCCTCCGCGAGGCAGAGACAGTTGACCCCCAAGCCATTCATTCCTTTGTTCCGTTTGGGAAAGTTTGTCTCGCGCTCAGTCCAGCCTCACGCCAATACTGGCGCCAACGCCAGCAAGTCCTTCGCCCAAACGACACTTGGACCCGAGACCCAAGTCGGCCACGGGAAGGAATTCAGCAAGCATCATTGCCGTTTGGTTCTGCCCATCAGGAAAGCTCCCGTCGGTTTTGAATACGTTTACCGCGACCAGCTCTCCCCGGTCTCTTTCGCCTTCGATTCGACTTCGGAACGGCATAATTCGATAGCATCACGAGTATGATAGCATCATAAATCTTGTGCTACACGAAGATTAATCACACCACAACCTCTAATAAAAGGGACTCAGTTCCACGACCGATTACGACTTCCAACACCATTTCGATTCGAAACAGACCTCAGTGTCCAACACTCTAATATCATGGCGGGGGTTGCGGAAGCCGGGTCCTACCGGATGAGCGGTCGGATTCCCATTGTCCGCCGTAACGCGAGCGGTGTGGAGGCCTTGGATGTGCCTCAACCCGACCAGACGAGACCTTTGGTGGCCCGAGAGAGTATCGACTGCACCGGCGAGAATGCCAACCTTTGCGAGAAGCCCTACGGAGCCAACAGCCTCGGTGTTCCCATCGCATTGGGGGTTGCGTAAGTTGCTTGCAGATCGCCGTCCTCTTGAGTTGTTTGTTTTTTGTGTCTCGGCATCCTCTAACGTTTTCTCCCAGAATCCCTATTGTCGCGCTTCTGGGCGTCGTCTTTTGGCTCCACCGTAGAAATATCAAGAAGCAGCGCAGTGAGGAAGCCAACGATCCCCACAAGTCGTTGGACTTTGGTCTGGGAGACGGCTCGCGAGGCAGCAAGGGCGGGAAGCGCAAGAGTGCCTTCTTCGGTGGCGGCGGCGCCGAGAAGGCAAGTCACCGTAACAACCAGCTCTCAATGGACATGAATCTGTCGAGCCCGTACCTCCTCCCGCCCAGCGCTCAAGCCGGGTCTCGCGAGTCTCTGCACTCACTGGCTCGCACTTTGCACGGAAACGAGGATCCCTACAGCCCTGTCTACCAGCAGAGTGATGCCAGATCGATGCGCTCCACCAAGAAGGGCTCGCGCGACGACTACAACGGACCATCTGGGCCCGGCCTCTCCGTCCCTCCGTCGCGCAAGTCTTCATTCCCGACCTCGCCCACCTCGCCCGTCACCTCGATTCCTCCCCGATACGAAGCCTCCAAGGACGAGGTCACGCCGCCTCCTCCTGCTCACTCGCCTGGCCAGGCCAACTTCCCTTTGAACGACACCTCTCCGTACCCCAATGACCACCAGCTTGACGCTCATGGTGTCTCCATGCCCGCCGTTCCGGAGCTTCAGGAGCCTGCCCAAGCCAAGATGCCTTCGTCCCCTAGGTTTCCCCTCCCACCCAACAACTCTCACGGCTTTGATTTCTCCCAAGATCAGAACAACAGCCAGCGACCGCCCCCTCCTAGCAACCTCCCTGCCAGTCCCCGACCCGTCAACTCGAACCAGCCAACTCTGACTGTCAACACTGGCGCTGCTCCTGCCGGCCCCATGTCGGCACCGGCCATCGAGGAATCCCAATACGAAACCGTTTCTCCCCAGGATATGGATGGCCAGGAGCGTGGTCGCACTCAGCATCGTCGCCAATCGTCCGAGTACCCTCCTGAGAACACTGCTGCTCTCGGTGTCCCCCGCCAACACAACAAGCGGCTCTCTGTCGGATTTCGCCCACTGCCTCCGGATGAGGTGACCGAGGGCGAGGACCCGGAGACCAGGGCTAACCGCATCCGCTCCTTCTACAAAGAGTACTTTGACGAGAGCCGCCAGACCATGGGCTACCCTCAGGGTGCACCGGGTCAGGGCCATGGCGCTCCGAAGCAGCAGGGCGGTGGTAACGAGTACTATGAGGACTACGACCAGGGTTATCTTGGCACTGACGCCGCCTATTTCGACCCCGATACCAACACCTTTGTTATGCCCTACGCCCAGCCCGTCGCTCGTCGCGCCATGACCCCTCCTCCTTCCGGCTCCAGGTTCCCCGGCCCGAGGAGCGGTCCGAGGCCTCATGCTGGATCGGTCAGTGGCATGAGCATGCCCGGCAATCGCGGCCCTCATCGTCCTGGTTCGGCCACCTCGAACAACCGATGGGGTCCTGGCCCCAGACCCGGGTCTTCGGCTTCAGGCCAGTACGGCCGTCCGCGTGCCGGCAGCGCCATGGGCGCCCCACGCAAGCCCATGCCTCCCCCGGCTGCTCTGACCACCCTCCCGAACCCGTCCAAGCTTCGCGACGACACTCTGGCTATTAACCCCATCGACTTCGCTCCTCCCACTAGCTTCAAGGACCAGGCCGCCGGCCGGTCCCAGAGCCCTGGCGGAGGAGAGAGGAGGCCTTACCAGGCCCCTCTTGTCACCCACTCGCCACTCGTTTCCTCCTTTGACGAGATGACATCTCTCCCCAGCCCGTGAGTACTCTCTCCGTCATTCCAGCAATTTGTGTTGCATACTGACCCGTAATTTCGCGACTCCCTAGTCACCTTCTCAGGAAGTCCAACACGTTCACTGGACTTGACTTTGCGCCTCCCCGCAAGTTCAAGAACGATGACACCACAAGCGACGCCGGCAGCATCCGGAGCAACCGCAGCGGTATCTCATCGGTCCAGCGCGACGCCATTAGAAACGGCGCCGGGCGCGTGAGCCGCCTGCCTGGTGACACGGTGTTCACCACGGCCCAGACGGTTGATACTCTCAAGCCGCAATGGGGCATGCGTTCTTGATAAGCTGAGGTTCAGTCGTGTGATTTTGCACATCGCCCTGTGAGCCCTCGGCTTGTTCTCTGTTTTCTTTTCCTATCGGCAATCATGCTCTGCGTCAGGCCAGTCTACTCGACTAGACCTCTTATTCGTTCGCATCAGCATCGGAGTTTCTTTTGGATCTCGCATGGCCACTCTCTACCCTCCCTCTTAGGGATGTTACGAGAGTAACGAACGGCCAAACATGCTCTTTTTGATACCATTCTTGCGGGCAAAAAGGAAACAAGACCAAACATGCATCCTGTCGACCTTTGCCAACATCTGACGACTGGTAATGTCATCGTTTCTCGCTTTCTGTTTGCTGTTTCCTTTTTCTTTTGTCTTTTTTTTGTTTCCTTCATCTTGTCTCTCATATAATTCATGTTGGAAATTCAAAGCCGGCCACCAGCATAACAAAACACCCCATCTGGGGGGAACCAAGGGGAGGTTATCATGATACCATCTTGCCACGTTGGCAAGGCTGTTGTTTCATGCATGTTCCCTGCTTGCTCCCCCGTCTGGTACGAAATCATTGCATATATAGATCCCCTGATAGATAAACAACACGGAACTTGCCGAGGCGCAAGGAGGTTACCCCGCAATTGTCTGTTCTCTACGACTCGTATTGTGATGCTTTGTCATCGGATTAGCGACCTTGTTGTCGCTCCGTGATCTGGTTTATTTTTATGAGCATCCTCCCTCCAACATTGTTGACCAGGTGGTCCGCCCTGTTGTCAGTTTTAGCTGTGAATTGTCTGGGAGATACGTGCTTGGCTTGGTCAAGCTGTTTTGTCGACGCTTTTGTTTCCTCTGACTCTCAGCCTGCCCTGTTTCCCTAAACACCGCCAATCCGGTAATCTGGGGATCACGGTGATTGCCAGTTGAGCACGAACACGTGTTTTCGGATCCTTGTGTTGTGCCGTGGATAACATTCCAATCGGAGAAGCTTCCCAGTGATGCTGCGACCTCTCAGGATTTTTGACTTTGACCCCCGTCCTCTCCAGCTCCCATCCTAGCTTACCTACCGCAGCCGCAGGCATGGTGCCCAACCTGAAGCGTCACCAGCAGCCACGGAGGTGGCTATCCAGCCTGCGTGCCGTCTGACCCCCCGTACCCCCCCATCCCAGGAATGACGTTCAAGACTTTTTCTTCCTTCCTTCCTCTCTCTCTTCCCGGATCAATAATGGGCAGTGTTAATGGTCAAAATGCCGGGGCCCGGACGGCAATTGGGTTGGGGGAATGCAGCAAGGCCACGCGAAATCAACGTCATTTGCCCGGCGGGGAAACTGCGTTATACGCTGCAATTGTTCATTTATGCGATGCGATTCAAGGGACAGGCCTCGACGCGATTGTCCAGGGGCACCTGGCGATGATGGAAGTTGGACCAGTCAAGCGGCTATTTTTCATCTCTCGTCATTCATTTTTTTTATTCCCGGTTTCTGTGCTTCTTTTGGGTGCCCGCTGCTCGGCGTGTCAACTCCCGGACGATTTGGTCCATTGCCCGCTGCGTCCCCCTCCTTTTGCTGTGGCCCCAACCCCTCTTGTCTGATGCAATTGAGCCGAAGCAGAGCAAATGATACCCACCCGCGCGCTCCCTTCGCTGCCCGGTTCCTGGGTGTCCTTAGAGATCGACATCGATGGAAAAAAAAAAAGGACGCGCATGTTCCCCTCTCGGGGGGGTTTTGTTCCCCTACTCTTGAATGCTCCGCTCCTCCCGAGAAACGAGGGGTTTTCTTCGGAGTGTTATCGAACGTACGATGTGTGTGGCCTCAGGTCTAATGCAATGCAGTCAGCCTCCCTTCCCCATCGCCCACGCCGCAAGTCTACTGCAGACATCGGGCCTGAGGCGTTGTTCGTGTGCTTATGTACATACGTGCCTACCGCCCATTGCCTGTATGCATTAGCTCTTTTGGTCGTCCGTCGAGGACGGCGTCTGGGCCCAAAAAGCAAAGACCGATCGATGCAGACGCAGCCCCATGCAGCCAGCCATCCACAGGCAGGCAGACAGGCAGGCAGGTGTCTCTAGTGGGCTGGACATGCAGGATTCAACATGGTCCACACATGCAGCGCATATTTAGTATGCTGCGAAACGTTGCAGATCGAGCGAGGTATGGCCGTCTGGTGCATACAGCCGGACCTGCAAGGCCCTCGTTGCGTTGGCTGCAAATGCTACTAGCAAGTTGACCATGCGCCCAACGGCTGACGTTCCAGCCGGACACAATCTATTTTTTTTCTTCTCTCGGCCGGGACCATGTCGCTACGTAGGCAGGCTTGCCCTGTCTAGCGCGTTCCGCAGCCCATGCACGAGTCTCAGCCAGCTTGTGCCAAAATGCTATTTTTCGTTCTCTTTATTTTCGGGCTGATCGCCAAAAGAGCGTGTCGCCCAGTCAAGAGCAAGGAAGCAAACTTGGCGGTGCTAGACTGGCACACTTGGCACAAACATATGCCGGTCTCATTCCTTGGTCTTCAGTCCCTTGGCACACTGTAAATCTCACTCGCACGGCCATATGTATACAGATGACTCCCCAGCCCAGAGCCCTGTCGCTTCTTGGTATGGTTTAGGTATTGAGCAAGCCAACGGACAGTCAACAGGCGACACAACGGCCGAGCCGACGCTCACTCAGACCACGGTATTGGACGAGCGTGCCTTTTCCTCTCTTGATTTTACCGCCAACATTCTTTGCCAGTTCCCCGACGCACGGCCGAATCAGAAACAGAGGCTGCTTGGGGTCCATCTTGGCACGGATTACGACCTGTTGGCTGGGACGACCGGACAGTTGCACGGAGCATGTTGTCACGGGCGATCAAGAAGCACGGAAACGATTGACTGAAAAGGCAAACCTGAAGCCGAGGAAAGAGACGAAAGCGACGAAAACCCGGGCCTAGAAATAACCTAGGCAGGGGGGAAAGAGACGACTAGTCGCTCGCGGTTAAGTCAAAAGCCACCCGCCAAAGGTTGCTGCGGACGAAGCCATTTTGCTCGACGGACCGACTGCACCAGCGCCTGGCGCACCACCAGTTTTTTTTTTTTTTTAGGGCGGCGGATGAAAAAAAAAACACTGGAACCCACCTCGGAACGGCGGCAGGGCCATTGGCTAGCGTCCATCTGGATTTGACGCTTGGCTGCGCGACACTCGACGCGGCCTTGTTTTGACACCTAGATCGGCAGCCGCCACCGACCAAGCAAGCGACCCGATCGAATCCGAGACAGCGCCAAAAAAGGAGGGGAAAAAAGTGGTAGAAAAGAGAAAAGAGAGCGAGAAGGGACGACGAGTAAAGTGAAAGGGACGAAAAATATATAGAAAGGAACTCGAGCTGTCAACCCAAAACCAACAGCACAACCACGCCAAAATCTCATCAGCACGCCAGTCCAAATCCGGACTCGGCTCGTGGACAGGAACAGGTTGGCTCGCCACCGGGCTGTGGCGAGTGCGGCTTATGGTTCTAGCGCGGGCTTCGGAGCTAGGGCAACCAGTTCAGGCCGCAGCCGCGACGCAGACAACAAGCGTCGGCCTCACTCGCTTGGGATTGAGCCCTCTGCCGATTCGTTGGCCCGCAGTTACTTGGTGTGGCCAGAGACCCTCTTAATCGACCGGCCCCTCGTAACATCATCAGTCGCGCGTCGCCTGCCCGTTGAAGAAAGGGCGCAAAAAAGAGCAAGCCGCGGAGCTGGCCGCCCGCACACCCAGCTGCGCCTCCACGCTCCCCCCCTGCTACTGGCGTGCTCACACGCAGCTCCACATTGATGACCTTGCCCGCACCCGACATTACGAGGCCCAGCACCACCCAGCTTTCCGTAGAGGGGAAAAGCTCCAGGCTGCGGCGAGGGGGGCCGAAGCTTCTTCTGCACAGCACGGCCAGCACAAGACCCGCGAACACGGGGGTTATTTGCGGGCCCCCGTCCAATAACGTCGCCTGTCGCTGGACTTGTCAATCTCCCTCCCCCAGGAAGGACCCTCCTGCTCGGCGTGCGAAAGGGTAGGAAGGAACCCAGACCCTCCGCTCCTGCTCTTCCCCATTTTCCAATTGCCCCGTCCGTCCTTGTTGTTTTCCTGGTCTGCCCATTTCGACTCGGCCTCTCCCAACCGCCGTGGCATCGACTCGATTGCTTCTCCCGGGCCGCTGCTCTTTTCGACTTCTTTCATTTGGCTGTCGAGAGCATAATTCTTGTACAGCACCTTTTTTTGTTGTCATTTCGCCCTCGGCTTGGCGTCTCTCGGCTGACGACCGACACGAAGCGAGTGGTCCCGACCGACGCGATCGATATAGCTTCGATTCTGCCACGCCCGCGACGTTGACCCGAATTGCCAGAGCAACTCGGTCCTCATCCCGACGCCACCAACGGCGCAGACACCGATTCGGCACTAGGTTACGCATTGTTCAAGTCGGAGCGCCCCGCGCCGCGACGGTGGTCTTTTGCTTCCAGCTTTTAGGTAGGTACCGGGTTGGGCTGATTGATTCATGGGCTACCTCCGACAGCACCTCATCGCATTCGTCTCTCCTGCCTTCCCGCAACAGTATTGCGGCCCCATCCTTTCCATGTGGTCGCGTTGCGCTGCTGCATTTGAAAGCCTGAATCTCCACTGGGATGCCCTCACCTCCATCGTCGTTTGCAGAACGGGGACTTGCAGGTACCCGTTTCACCGTGTTCGCTTCCCAGAGTTCTGGCTCTCTCTTCCACAAACCTTGTGTCTGGTCGTCGCGTGGCCAGTGCGATGCGTTGCGGTCGCGCAACGGTCGGTGCTTGGACCAGCCCGGTTCCATGGCATCTGATTCCATGGCATCTGATCTGCACCTGGCGGGCTTACCAAGACCCGGCGAAGCAACTCCAACCAGCCCTGCGGAACACGGGGCTCCCTTGCCCAGTCTCGCTTTCTTGTTTCTCTGACCGCCTTCTACATACCTTTTTTCTTCTTTTTCTCTCGCACCATTGAGCTTGATGTACCATAAATGCTAATGTCCTTGTGGACAGATCAGGAACACTCCAGTCTTGAAATCGGCCTCTTTTCAAGATGTCGTCCAACGCCACAAGTACGACCGGTCCGCCGGCGACGATTCTGTCTACAGCATCAACGGACAGCCCTTCAAGTTCCCTTGCTAATACTAACTCAACCACAGGCACACCTCCAGACACCTCAACCCCGGCACCGGCGCCGGGGACAACCAGCACGACGCCTTCGCCACCAACAACCTCAACACCCTCGACAACCTCACCCCCTCCTCCTCCATCATCAAGCACGCCTACTACAAGTACTACCTTGCCCCCTCCCACGACTACTCCTCCACCTCCTCCAACATCAAACACCACGCCGACTACATCAGCACCACCACCCCCACAGAGTTCCTCCAACCCACCCTCTCTGACAACGGAGACGACGGTGACCACTCCTACTGGTGGCGGCCCACCGACTACCGTGTTTACGACGAAAACGCAGCCAAACACCCAGCAAACATTGTCCACAACTTCGAGCATCGGACTCCCTGGCGGCTCGGCTAACAACAACCCGAACGGAGATGGCAGTTCAAGCTCGCAAAATGCTACCGTCATTGCCATTGCGACAGTGGTTCCTATAGTTGTCGTTGCCATCCTTGTGCTAGGTGGCCTCTTCTTCTGGAGGAAGAGAAAGCAACGGAAGGCAGCCGAGGAAGAGCGGCGCAAGGAAGTCGAGGAGTATGGATTTAACCCTAACGCCGATGGGCCAACAGCACCCGATGTGAGCACAGTCGGTGGCGGCGCATATGAGGACGCCTCATCTGGCTACCGTGGCTGGGGCTCTACTACTCTGGCTGGCTCGACTGGCCGCAAAGCCTCGACGACCATGTCTGGTGGTGCTGCTCCAGTTGCCTACTCGGATGGCACCGCGGCCTCGCCCACTCAAGGAAACGTGTCGGACGCGCGCTCCGCAGAGCCCCTGATGCACGGTCGCGATGGCGCCGTCTCGCCTGAGGGCGAGATACTGGGCGCCATGGGTCCGTCGACTTCAGGCAACCGTGGCGGCGACATGCGCCGAGGCCCGTCCAACGCATCCTCATCCTACAGCGCGGCCGCACGATCTGACGGCTCCGGCGAGGGCATCGGCATGGCCTACGGCGGAGACGCGCGGTACTACGACGGCTACGGCAATGGTCCTTACGCAGATGCGTACGGAGCCGTGCCGCCTCGTGGTGGCGAGAATGGCGGCGCCAGCTCTCCCGTCATCAAGGACAACCCAGCACGCCGCAACACCCGCATAGAGAACTCGGGACACTACCCACAGCAGGCCGGCATCTCGCAAAACTTCTAGCCGCCGTTGCGACTCTGGCTTTACTCTTTCCGTCGTGGCTCGCGCATCCAAATACCCTGCTAGGATTCCACATTGCCGTATCCCAGCAACTCTTTCTTCTTTTCAGGCCCTCCCTCGCTATCGCTCGCCTTTTACGCCCATTTCGGCTTTTCAGCAACCTAAAAATGTCATGCGTATCCAGCATTCTCCTAGCCTCTCTTTTTGTCACAAAACTTCTCTAATTGTCGATCGCTTACCTTCCATGATACTTTATTTAATGGCCGAGCCGTGGAAACCGGATTGGTTGGGGGGCTGTCTTCTCACAGGACTTATCCTCCTGTCTTTTTGGTTCTCTCTCGCTCCCATCGAACCCAAAGCCATGCGAATCCCGGACTCTCTTTGGCCGGGTTGCGGCAGGCATATTTTGGCTCTTTGCTGCTGTTTATCTCCCCGTTTTGCTGACATATGGATGGACTTTTGTCCCTTATTTCTCCATCATCCCGACGAAAAATTTCCTTGATTCTTTTCCTTTGCGTATCTGGGAGGGAGATTCATGTGTATTGAACAGTTTGCCGCATGTGACATTTGAGCGTCACATGCGGTGCGTAGGATTCAACGCGAGCGGGCGGGGGCCCGGTTCTATATACACGAATATTAAACTACATAGCTGACAAGCGGTTCCTATGTCGTATACCTTTTCGACTGCGCGATGAGATAGGGTTGTATTGGCCCCCGGTTCACATTATCCGTGCCTGTGATTGAGCTGGCGAGCATTCCAAGTTGGATGGCTTTAAGAATGCTGTGAATAGGGATGACGCCGCCTCGGAGCTGACTGATGAAATATTATACAAGGACTACATTCCTGGGCTTATTGGAAGGAACTGACATGTATACGCGGTGGGGGGATGGGGGGTTCCGCGTCTCCATTCCATGACGGGGATGCCTACAGATTCGCCTTTACCGGACTCCCTCCCACCAACCTCGTGCCGGCGCCCTGGCTCAGCTCGACGCGCTCCCACCAGAAGCGGCACAGCTCGAGCTCGCGCTCCGACAGCGCGGCGACCCGGGCCACGGTGCCGCTGCTGCCCTTGCCGCCCAGCCGCTCCTCGTTGCCGTCTCCAAAGACGACGAGCCTACCGCGCTCTCCGCCGCCGTCGCGGGCCAGCGCCGGGGCCGCCGCGGTGCCGCCGCGGAACGGCGACTCGAAGGCGGGCCAGCGGGGCAGGGAGCCGGCGGCCGCCACCTTTGCAGCCGTGGAGGAGCAGGAGGAGGAGGAGTTGGAGGAGTTGGATGTGCTAGCGGTGCCGCCGTCGTGGTTAGGGTCGCCGTCGGCCGAGACGGCGAAGCGGACGTAGGCGGCGTGCATGGCGGCCGACGTGGCCACGACTCCGGGGAGGCGGGCCTCGGCGGCCCTGAGCGCCTGCTCCTCTTCCAACCTATCGCCGCTGCTACTACCACCACCACCACCCTTGAGCTTGGCGGCGAGCCCCGGCGGCAGCAGCAGCTGGGCCAGGTCGTGGGACGCAAACGGCGCGTTCTCGGCGTGGTTGGCCGTGGCCCAGGGCGGCGAGAGCGGGGCGAAGCGGTAGACGTAGACGCGCGAGCGGCTGGGGCGGCGGCTGGGGCGGCCGCCGTCGCTCCTCCTCGGCCGATGTAGCTGCGACATGTAGTGCGCCGTCTGCAGCACGGGGCACGTGTATGCGTAATCGGCGTAGGCGGCGTCGAGGCGGCGCCACTGGCGGGACGTGATGCCCGCGGGCAGCACGGGAGACGACCCCAGGTAGGCGGCGGCGGCGGGCGACGACGACGAGGACGGTGGTGGGGCCGAGACCGGGTCCGGGTACAGCGACGACGCGGCCAGGCGGTCCAGGTCGGCGCGCGAGGCCGCGGGCAGCAGGCGCGCGAAGAAGGCGCGGAAGTCGGCGTCCGAGTCGGCGCCGCGCGGGGGGACAAAGGCGGTGCCCTCGTTGGCGTTGAAGCCCGTGACGAGGGGGACGTCGAGGACCCGCCCCGCGCGCCAGCTGCGCGCCGGCAGGTCCGGGATGGCGTCGCCGTCGACGACGGGCTGGAAGGGCCAGCACACCGAGGGCACGTAGGCGTCCCAGACGGCGCGGCCCGCGGCCAGGATTTTTGGAGAGGGGCAGGGCGCGCAGGCGGGACAGGACGGTCTTGTAGTCGTTGCCGTCGCCGTCGCCGTCCACGCCGGCGGCGGCGAGGAACTCGCGGTACTGGGACGCGTTGCGCAGGTGCGTCGGGTGCAGCACGGACCGGGCCGTGGCGGCGCCCGACTCGAGGATGGCCTTGCCAAAGGGCGCGGGTTGTTTGTCCGGGGCGCCGTAGTATATCAGGTGGTGGCCGATCTAGACCAAGGGGGGATTAGAATATTTTGACAATACACACACAGGTTCCTAACCCCTCCCAAAAAGAATCTCACCGAGTGCGCGCCCGCGCTCATGCCCATGACAGTCACGTTGGCCGGGTCACCCCCAAAGGCGGCGATGTTGTCGGCCACCCAGCCGAACAGCATCTGCTGGTCGCGCAGGCCGACATTGAGCGCCCCGTCCCCGTCCTCGTCAGCGGCCACCACCCCGGCGGCGGGCGGGGCCAGGAAGCCGAGCGGGCCGACGCGGTAGTTGAAGCTCACGCCCACCACGTCGTCGGCCGCCCACGCCACGAAGCTGGCCATGTCGCGTTCGGCGCCCAGCCCCATGTTGAACCCGCCGCCGTGCACGTACACCACCACCGGGAGCAGCGGCGGCGGCGGGGCCCTCGCGCCACCGCCACTGCCGCTGCCGCCGTCCATGGCCGCGGGCAGGCGCGCCGCGGGCACAAAGACGTTTGCGTTGAGGCAGTCCTCGCCAGCCGTCACGCCCGGCGGCGGCGCCAGGATGCCCGGGCAGGCCTCGCCGTAAGCCACGGCGGGGACGGGCTCGTCGCCGCTGCCCGCAGTCCAGGACCAGGCTAGGGGCAGCGGCCGCGGCGGGCGGAAGCGGTTGACGCCGGCCGTGGTCTGCGCGTAGGGCACGCCCAGGAACGCGGCCAGCGCCTTGGGGTACAGCGCGCTCGGGGCCCGCGTCGCGCCCTCGTACGTGCCCTGGCGGAGCCTCACCCTGGGCGGCGAGGCCGTGTTGGTGGCGGCCATGTTTTTGTTGTTGTTTTGTTTTTTGTTTTTTGTTTTTTTGGGGGTTTCGGCGTAGTGGTGGGTGAATGGCTCTTCTTCCGTAGCGCTGGCTACAGCCTTGTCAAGTCGAGGTGGAGGGGGAAGATTAGGTATATGCAAGCAAGGGTCCCTGGCGCTGTTCATGGACCATCGGGCTGGTGCTACCGACGCCGTTTGAACTGAGTGGCAGGACTAGACCTTGATGTTTTTGACTAGAAAAACATCTGCCAACATAAGCAAGACATCTTGCATTTGGTCACTGTAACGAAAGGAATCTATTTCATCAATGTCGGCTCAAATAGGAAAATCGGTCCCTCTCGAGTTATTGACGGCCACCGATGGCTGGTCTAGCTGAACCAACTAGGCACTAGAAGTAATCACAGCGGACAAGTCAAGCTCAAAAGGCGACACGAACTTTTCTTTTCATGAGCAAGAGAAATCTACATCCAAAAGACAGTAGGCCTGACTTGCCCCTGAAAGAGGTCGGGAAGTCGGCAGTCGGAGTGAATTGAAAGAAAGACAGGGTGGGCCTGTAATGGAAAGAAGTACAGAAGAAAGAAACAAAAACAAGACTGAAAACAACCCGATAAAAATACACTCGGGACTCCTTGCTTGTGCTTGTAAAATGCAATCGTTAAAGCCGCCCAGCCAGTTGGTTATCCCTCCCTACGTCCTCTCCGGGACCTACACCCAAGAATGTGAGTTGGACAAAAGAAATGCTGTCCGGAATATGGACTTGAACGCGTAGTCTGCCATCAGACCACCAAGGTTTCCAGTCATGCCGGGTGTTGTAGAGCCGAGGTCGTCATGGCCGGCGTTTACCATCTCTCAACGGACGACAACCTTTCCTCCAGTGGGAGGGCTTGATGGTGGTCCCACCACCGACGAGCGCTTGGTCTGGCGCCGCTCGGCCCACTCGCGGCTGAGCTGGCGAGATCGCTCGGCCGCCTCCTGTCGGGCCAGCTTGGCCATCATCTCGCGCCCGCGCTGGTTTTGCTCACGCTCCTCGACGAGGCTGTTATCGCGTCGGTATATCTCGCGGGCGCGGCGTCGCTGCTGCTGCATGTCCTCGTTCGACACCCCGCTGCTGCTCTTGCTAATGTTGGTGCTGCCCGTAGACGTCGACGTTCCGCGGATGCTACTAGCAGCCGGCTTGTTCCGAGACGCTACTGAGCCCGCGGCCGCCGTGTCTCGGCCCCGCTGCTGTTGGCTGTCCACGACGCCACTCAGGGGTCGTCGCGAGAGGCTGGCGCCGGTACCAACGGCAACCCGCTTCTTTCCAGGTGACGTCGTGGCTGCCAAGCTTTCGCACTGTTCCGCCGACGCGCTCGCCGCCTTGGCAGCCTGGCGCGCACGACTGGCGACCGTCTCACGAGGCACACTAGCCGGCGTGGTCAGGGCCGCGCGGATAGGGCGAGCCTTGAACTCCCGTCGCCGACGCTCCTCTTCCTCCTGCGCTCGGAGCTTAGCTTGGTGTTCCTCCCTCTTCCGTCGCGAGATGGCCTCGCCAGGGAGCTCAAAGGTTGGCCTGGTGGGTAGCCTGGCTGAGCGCGCCCTCTGGAGAGCGCTCGCCTTCTCTGCTTTCTCTGCCTTCTCCGCCTCCACCTTGGCCAGCCGCGCCTCGCGTTGCCCATTAAGTCTCCGCGCCACAGCATCGCCCGGTAGCTCAAACATCGGCACCGTCTTCGCGGGTTGCCTTGTCTCAATGAGACTGGTGGGCCTAGCCCGTGTGCTAGTCGCCCGCTTTACCGAGGGCGAGCTTGTTGGTGTTGGTTTCTGGTCCTTCTTGTTGAGGACAATAGACACAGAATTCCGCACAGAGCTGCTGCGAGAGACTTCGGCTGCGCTAGAACGCACTGAGCCCGCTCTCGAGATTGGCTTCTTGGTGGTTGACGATGATCGTTTGACAGTGGTTGGCTGTTTGGTGCTCGGGGCCTTCTGCAGCTTGTCTGGGGAGGGAACGCGCTCAGCCCTGACAACCTCGTGCAGCGCCTCTAGCTGCTCCTCTAGATCATCTAGGGCCTCGAAGCTGTCCTCGATTCGCGCGCTGGATACTGGCCGAGGGAACGGACTGGAAGACCTGTGTGGGGATGTGCTCCGGGGTACCAACAGCTTGGCGGAAACCTCGCATGGCTCCAGCACATTTATCCGAAGCTCTGTTCTAGACGAGGGGTTGGCGTTTTCAGGAATCATTGTGACGGGAGAGACGGTTCCTGGTTGCTTGGTGTTTGCCTTGGCTGAGGCCAGCTCAGGGTTGCGGATCCGGGTTGCCAAGAGTGTGTAGATGGGGACGCAGTGGTTTTCGACACCGGCGCCTTCGCCCGAGTCTTTGGTTGTCGACTCAGTCCTGGACTCAACCAGGTTGCAACCAAAGTAGAGTTTTGCGCTCGGGTCGCTTGTGTCGGAAGCAAGATCGATGCCGCTGGACTTGCCACTCTCACGAAGGTACTTTTCTGCTGCAGGCGATGAGACTGGAACTGAGAGAAGGTAGTCAAAATCGCCGGCCGCGTTCTTTTCTAGTTTCCGCTGGTCTACGGCACGACTGATCGCAGACGGGAGTGGTGTTGGAGAGTGCGCAGCGGGTGCGTCTGCTAAATACGTAGTGCGGCGGGTGGTTAGCAGGGGGCATCCTGCATCATGATTCAAGTATGGACAAGGATGCCATGGCTTGTCTTGCTCACCTTGAACAAGCTTCGCCCTTGGTCGAGGGACGGCGCCAGACGCTTGACGGAGTTGGCCGTGGCCAGGCTCGGGATAACGGCTCAGCGACTGGACAGTCTTGGGCGCAACCAGCGGCAGGCCGGGAGGGAGGAATGTGTTCTCGTCGAGCGGCAGGCGCGTGTGGGGGCCGCGCGAGAGAGGCTTCTGGTCCCTGGGGTCCAAGAAGGCCTTTTTGGGGCTGCTGATATGGAGCTGATCAAGCCGGTCGGCGAGCGACTCGGGAGAAGCTAGTTCAGGCGGGCGGAGGTTCTGGGCCTGCTGGTTGTTGCGCTCGCCCAGGACGGAAGGTTCGGGAATATTGGAGCTAGCAACGGCGGCCGTGCTGAGGCTCGTGATGACAATGGTGTTGGTCTTGGTGGTGTGAGCGTCGTCGGTGCGATGCGATGCAGGCGACGATGATATCAGCGGAATGGTCTGCGAGCTGGAGATGCTGTCCTCGAGCACAGCAAAAAGGTCAAGCGCACCAGCCGAGGGCTGGCGCTGGCCGAGTCGGCTGGCCATTGTCACTTTATCGTCGGCCACGGGCGAGCAGGGGGGAGCCCGATCTGCGTCCGTGTAGTAATAACGGCCAGGGCAGGGGGTGTGTGTGCTTGTAAATTTATTGGGCAGGGGTCTCGCGCCGGGACAGGGTGCTTGATTGGGCCTCGGCCGTGGTCCCTGGCTGGCGATCCAATCCCAAAAAGCCTAGAGTGATGCTCGATACAACTGTGGGAACGATTTGCTGTGAGACGCTTTGGAATTGTGTAGCCAAGAAGGACGGCGGGGTGGAAACGAGCCGAAGTGAGGGAAACAAAAGGACGGAACTGAGAAAACATGAAGACGGCAGACGCGAGGCCTCCTTCCCTCGATCCTTGCTCGTGCATCGGCACTGCGCGCGCAACCTCGAATGCGCCTGCCCGCGTAGCCGAGTCGGAGGGGCGGCGGGGGTTTGGGGTTCGTTGATTTGCTGTGTTTACTGTATGCCAAATCCGTCCACAGCACCGCCTGCCTGCAGTGCCTGCCTCTTGTGCAGCAAGAAAGCGGAGGCGCCCACAAACCCCTTGGACATGCGATTCGTCCGATACAATCGTCCCTGGCTTTCGTCCTCGGCACCTACACGGGAGGAACGCTCTAGAAGCGGGCAGTGACAGCTCTCTCGACCGAACGCCCACGGAGAGAGCGATTACCAGCGGCGACTAGCCCAGGACAAAGGGGCAGCCCACCGCTGCCAGACTCATAACGGGAGTGATACCTAATTGCGGCCTTCCCCACTACCACATGCTGCCGTCGTCTTCGGTTTCACCCTGATTTAGGCCGCTTAACGATCGATGCTCCCCCGATCAGTTTCACATCGAGGATCGCTATGCCTCAATGGGCATGCTGGGGTCTGCACCCAGGATGTGCTTGCACAAAATCTCTATTCTGAGCATATCGCTGGATTTCATGATTCTATGGGGCGCGGCTTGCACCGCTCTCCCGGTGGCACAGCCCCTTTCCTGCCACCAAGGTTTTTCCCCAAATAAAAAGACAACCCGACGGCGTCGTTCCATCGAACGCCTACGGGGATCCCCACTCCAACAGGAACCAACTACTACCTTCCAATCAACCTGTGATGCTGCTGCCCCTCCGTTTGACCCTCCACTGCCTCCTCGATCGGCAACCAACAAACCAGTTGCACCTTGCAGCCCCTGCTCCTTCGCATTCTCGGGTCGTATCCCCAGGGCTGGTCTAAGGCTTTTCCGGTATGGGAGCAAGTCGAGGTTGCACTAACCTAATGACGGTTTGAGTAAAGAAGGCGTCGCGGAAATAAACATGCGGGGCGCGTCCTGCACCTGGCCAAGTAGCGCAACGTCGGCATCCAATGGGATTCCGCCTGCCCCTCAATCTGCGAGACGGAAATTTACGCAGCTGGATGGCAGCGGCTCTGGCACGAGATTCTCGGCGTGACGCGCTTCTGGCGGGACGAGTAGATCCATGATAATGCCGTCGCGGAGCTGGTTGGCGCCCAATGATGGACGAAAATGCTACCAGAGGGAAACGTTGCGCCACCTATCAAGTCAATCAGGACTCCTCTTCTTCGGGCTGCTCTCCTGTTTGCGCTTGGATGGTTGGAGCATGCTCAGTCGGGATCCTGACCAGCGTCTGCGGAAGAGCTGTCTCGGCTGTCTCAGACCAGCCTTCATCCTCGGACTTGGGCTTCGGCAGCTTTGCTGTTCGTGGGAAAGGATTGTCAGGGATAGTTCATGTGCACTGCTTGGCGTCCAAACAGCCGCAGTTTTTGCTTTTAGTTGTCAAGGACGGGACCTTATCCACCGCCGGCAACATACCCGAGGCCATGTTGATGGCTTGCAGTACATTATGCCAGTTGGCCAGCACCAGCGCGATGGCCTCCGTGCCGTCTGATAACGTGCCTAGCCTCTGCTCCAGAGCCTCCATCTGAGTCGCCACGGCGGCGCTCAGGTCGCGTAGTTCCCGCAAGTTCTCGAGCTCAGCCTTCTTCTCGTTCACACGGGCCACAAGGGCGGGGGACTGCCCAGATCCAACACTGCCTCCGGCGCCAGATGGCTGCCGCATGTGGCCTGGCAGCGATCGAGAGGGAAATGACATGATGGGCAGAGATGACGAGACCAGCTAAGGAGCTCAGCGGTGCTCGGAGCTGAAAAAAAAAAAAAAAATGAAAAAAAGAAAGAAAATGGACCCTGGCCGAAACCTAGCACGGGCTGAAGATGGGGGCAGCAGCAGCAAACTGTCGTCGCGCAAGCACAGCTTCGTTGGCGGCGTCTGTGGCGAATTAGCTGGTGCGACCGCTGGCGTGGGAAGACGTGGCTGGCAAGCCACATACGTGGGTTGCTGCCCGGCCAACAACATTGCAGCCCCCGCGGCCCAAGCTAGCCGGTTTGGGAAGCGTGTAAATATCGCCTAGATGCGCGAGAGTGGGTTTTGATGACATTGCGCTGCCGCACAGGCGCAGTTGCCCAATACAGCAATCGTACACAGAAAACTTTGGGCCTGGTCCAGACTGCACCCAACCACCTCACGCCTGAGCTGCAGCATCTTTTGACAGAAACAGCGCGTCCGCGATCAAGCAACTTGGATAGCCTCCTGCCAGACTGCACACGCACACCTCACTATGAGCAATGGCGAGACTCAACGAGCCCCCAGCATCAGCAGACAGCCTGGAAACGCGTATGTCACCGCCTTTGTGCAGCTGCTTCCGTCGAGGGATGCCACTGACAGAAGCTCCATTGTCTCGCAGTGCGCCGCAGGTTTCTACGCCAGAATCGTGACATCGCCCGCGTCAACTCGAACCAATCTCTCCGCATCCGAAGCCTCGAGAATGAGTGCGCCCGCCTGCTTTCGGAAAACCTCGACCTACGTGGCCAGGTCCTCCGGATGGAGAAGGAGCTCGAGAACAACTCGGCCAGTCGCGTGGCCGACCATGCTCTGGAGATAAAGGCCAGGATGGAGCTGCAGCTTCTCGAGATGAGTTCCCTGCTGGAGTGTCTGGGCCTCGAACCACCAACGAAGAGGCGGTCGTCCAACAGGGAACGCAAGATGGCAAAGCCAAGACCCAGCCTCTTCCGGAGCCCCCCCGCCCGGCGCCAAAGGAATCCGAGTGTCGAAGAGCAGGACGCCCTGGCTATGCAGGAGGGCCGTATGCCTCCCATCCATGAGAACAAGTCTTACCCGCGGCAGACTCTGAGGTACGCCCTTTCCGCGTCGGTGCCGCGTGCCATGTATGCGACGCGGCATGTCAAGCTAACTGGAATCTCCATGTAACAGTCGCGAGGAAATATTGGCCCTTTGCTCCGAGGCGGAGACGTCGACAGACTCTCCTGACCTGGGACCGCCTCCGGTGTCGAGATTTGTGGAGGAGGACCCAGTCAAGACGGACTCGCCGACTAGGGCTCTGCGCCTCCGCGTCTATTCCGATGCACCCCTTGCCGCGGAAGCAGGCAGCCCGCTCGCCCTGAACGGGCAGCGCTCCGCGCAATCACCCCTCCCGAGCCCGACGAAGAAGGTGGCGAGTCCCCAGCCAGCCAAGACCGAGTCTCCCCGCCTGATTCTGGCAGAGAAGCCACTTGCATTCGACAAGCCTATCGCGACCGACAAGGCTCTTACGCCTCGCAAAGCCCTGACCTCTCAGAAACCTCTTATGGCCGACAAGCCGCTCACCATCGAAACGCCCCTGACTCTGGAGAAGTCGCCGCTGGCGACAGAAAATGTTCCGGCCAAATCGAGCTCTAAGAGGAAGTTTGCGGTAACAGACGAGAACGAGATCTCGAATTTCGCCAAATCCGAAAACGAGAAGCCGGCTGGCGCGAGGGAGGGGAAGGGGAAAAGGAGCGCAAGAGGGGTTTCTGGGACCGGTCGCAAGGACGCTCGACCAAGGGCGCTAGGCGTGGCACCGATGGCCCGCCCAGCGTTGGCCGCGAAGAGCACGAACGATGATCTCATGTCCCCGAGGAAACAGCCTCCCACCAAGGCACCGATGGAAGCCATGGAGATGGCGAAACCGACACCGAATCTGCAATCCAGGCCTCGCGACACACACAAGGCCAGTCCCCCGAGCATCATGCTGGACCTTCCAAACCCGTCGCCACCCCCTGTTGCCGAAATCCATCCCTCCGAGCTCGCCGCGGCCTCGCTCGACACCCAGATGATGTCACCCATTACGCCCGGGCGCCCATCTGTGCTGGAGAAGCCCTGCGACACACCACCCCCGCTTGATATCTCGTCGGCAGGTGACATTGCCCGTCCCAGCAGGAGAGCTAGAGCCGCAGTCAGCTACGCGGAACCGAGCCTGAGAGACAAGATGCGCCGGCCGACCAAGGAGCTGACGGACGCCGTTTCCGGCGAGGGCAAGTACAAGCACCGTGCTTCCATCAACACCAAGGAAGAAACCGTGTCGATGATACCCTCGTCTGCGACCAAGGGAAGGGCAACACCTGTTCCTCCAGTCGCCAGTACTGAGCGCCCGGTTGAGTCTGTTACGATGCAGCGTTCTCCTGGCGTCCAATCGGCCGCTCCGCTGGAGGTGACTGGCAGGGAGCCCGTTACTTCTCCGTCGGCCCGTAGGATGGCCGCCCCCTCAGATGTGCCCAACGTCAACATTACAAGCAGGCGCAAGCAAGCATCGACGGCCGGACAAAGTGACGGGGCTTCAAGCAGAGCGGACACGCGGCCGGAGCCCACCACCAACGACCTCTCGTCAGCCAAGGACGTTCATCAAAGCAACGCATCCGCGCCCATGCTAGATCCCTACGAATTCACCACCACATCCCCGGCGGTCGAGAGGACCACGACGGTGGAGCGCGCGTCGGCGCCCATGCGCAACTCGCACGCGCGATCGTCGCGGCGGCCAGTTCTGCGGGAGGACGTGGCCGCGGCGCTCAAGGGTGAGGTGGCCGCGGCCGCCACTCAGAAGACTACGCGGTCCGCCGGCTCGAGGAAGCGGGCGTCCCTGGCGACGCGCAACAAGCCCTCGATGCTCGAGGGCCGCGACGACTCGGAGGACGACTACGGCGACTCGGAGGCGGCCACCGACACCTCGGACCGCCTCTCGAGGCGGCGCAGTATGATGATATGACACGGAACCCCCCGAAAAAGGTGCAGGAGCGTGGTACGATCCGGGCCCCGGCCGTACTTGTTTCTTGTCCAACCCCCTCATGACCAAATGACTCGGAACGGAGTTTCTAGCGCGCGCCTCCATTTTGCTCTTTTGTTTGCTCTTCCTTTTCCAGGGGTCTCGTCATCCTTGGATGCCTCCCGAATTTGCCCTGCATTCCCCTCTGCCCCTTTTGTCCCCGCGTCTTTTGGATCGAGAGCTCACACAACTGTCTGATAACAATGTAATTCTCGGCAGATACGCCTGATGATACTATACCCCTTTCCTTGACTAGCCAGAACATATTACTATCGGTTTCATGAATTTGTCATCTTCCACAAAAGCATAATTCTACGTAAATCATTTGGGCTTTTGCGGAACCGCAGCTTAGTCCGTGATTCGATGACGTGCGCTGCCCGTAGATGGTCATGTGCACCGCGTCATCTCCCGAGCTTCTGAGACGGCTGGCGCTGAACTTTGGTTACCCCCAACCACGGTGCTGTCACATATTAAACCGCTGTCCTCGGTCGTCGTGCCTGGGTGGTTCTCATCCTTCCGTGATTGCGCTTCCATCAACGTCATGACGGTGCCGCAGTCGGTTCAACCACCTTGGTGTAGGTGACTTTTTCTACTGCCACGTTTTCCACCCCATTGGCGTCCTTCCTCAGTTGATACACATATAGTGTAAGGGAGATTCCTTGAACCTGCAAAATCCAGAAATATGAGTCAGTCGTCAACTCGAAGAGAGACAAAAAACAGAAAGAAAAAAAAAAAGCGCGGCAGCTCTCACATCCATCAAACAAAAGCTAGGCACAATGTCCTCCTCCTTGCCCCAGCCGGTCGAGAAGGCGCCCGTGGCGCTGCCGGGGTTGATGAAGAACTTGTCCATGTACTCGAAGCACTCGAAGCGGTGGGTGCCGCCCCAGCAGAGCACGTCGACGTCGAGCTTGTTGGCCTCGGCCAGCAGCAGGTCGGGCTCGTTGCTGACGAGGGTGAAGCCCTCGAGGAAGCCGACGCGGATGCTGCCGTGCGTCACCACCTGCGACAGCGGCAGCGACGTGGCCTCGACGTCGAACCGGCCCTTGACGATCTTGAGGTCGGGCGCCACCGTCCGGAGGTACTCGTACGTCGTCCGGTCCGTCAGGTTGCCCAGGCAGAGCGTCTGCCCGATCTTGCCGGGCGCGAGGAGCTTTTTGAACTATTTATACAATGTATAGTCCTGTGTTAGTCCGGCCTCTTTGTTTCCTCTTGCCATTGGCATCGTGCGATACCGGCGCGAGCGCGCGCGCAATTGTTAGCTAGGCACCGACCTTTGGCGGGATGTCCAGCGCGCGATCTGGGATGTGGAGATCGCCAATGACGAGGATCAGGAAGGCCATGTTGGCTCGGGTGCGCCGGACGTGGGCCGGGCCGTCGGGAGGAAGCTATAAAGGGGAGAGAGCAGTGGGCGCAACCCAAGGAGCCTCGAGTTCTAATAAGTCGGTCGGTCGATGTATAACGCGGCGTCGTCGGACGTGCGTGAGCCTCGGCGACGAATGGAGTGCGGCTATTTCATGCTCGGGCGCGACGATAAACGAGTGCTCGTTGCGATTGCGAGGGCTAGGTGCGTGTGCAAGTCCCATCCAGGCTTGTGTTCGCTAAAACCTAGGCTGAGAAGCAATCGCGGGTTGCTCGTTGCTGTCAGATGTGTTGTGCCCCACAAGGGAGGGGGGGGAGGAGAGCGCCCGCGTCTGGGCCTGCGGCTGAGGCCTGCAGGGAACATGAAAGGTGATTTGAGCTCGTTTTGTCGGTGACGACGATGGGCAGTGCAAGCCACACCCGCCGTTGGACTGGTGGCTGGCGAGCGGTAAACCGTGCAGGGGAGGAGGCACTAATTAGCGCCACAGGCCCGGTATCCCCCACCCGTGCTTCCAATGCTAGGCTGGCAGGGGTTAGCGTGGAGTGCTGACTCCGGCAGCGGAGCACAGGCGGCGGCGGATTGAAGCTGCCACGATGCCTTGCGCAGGTTTGGCCCTGAATTGCGTGGGAAAAAAACAAAGTCAGGAGCGGGTAATAAGCGGCAGACCAGGTACTAAGAGGCATAGTAGTCTGCAGTCGGCCTAGATTGATAATCTGTCGTCTTTCCCTGACAGCTGCCAATTCTCTGCAATCACCACCGGGCATCGTGTTCCGTCCCTTGTTCTTGTTAGAAACGTCGATAAACCCCAAACAAAACACATCCGTTATCTCCCCGACACGTTCCCGTCGGGATCCGGGAATCTGGCTTTCCTAGCACGCGCGGGATTACCTAAGGGGCTGCGGACGGTCTCCGGCAGCATGTCCCCGCTCAAGCCGCCGGCTAGCCTGAGGAGCTACCCCTCGGCTACAAGACTGGCCCAGATCTCGAGCCATTTGGCCGCCGCCTCGCAGTCCCGAGTCGTCTCATCTTCCTCCCCCACCAGCAACAGCGTGCAAAGAGCCAACATGTCTACGCAGCCAGACCACCCTACTCTACTCATCCCGGGCCCCATCGAGTTCGACGATGCCGTCCTCCAGGCCATGAGCCACTACAGGTGCGCCGGCCCCTGAGTCTCCTAGCGCCCGCTACTCTCCAGAGCTACTCTCCAGAGCTCCTCTCTAGACCGCCCGTACTGTGCCCAACTGACACACCCCCTACCGGACGACCACAGCGAGAGCCATGTCGGCCCCGGCTTCGTCAACGTCTTCGGCGAGACACTGACCCTCCTGCGCAGGCTCTTCCAGACCACCAACCCCGGCGCCCAGCCCCTCATCGTCTCGGGCTCCGGCACGCTGGGTTGGGACATTGTCGCGTCGAACCTGGTCGAGCCCGGCGAGAGCGTCCTGGTGCTGGGCACGGGCTACTTCAGCGACGGCTTCGCCGACTGCCTGCGCGTCTACGGCGCCGACGTCACGGAGCTCAAGGCCGCCGTCGGCTCGAGGCCGCAGCTGCCCGAGATCGAGAAGGCGCTGCAGCAGAAGAAGCACAAAGTCCTGACCGTCACCCACGTCGACACCTCGACGGGGGTGCTGAGCGAGCTCAAGGACCTCACGGCCCTGGTGCGCAGGGTCTCGCCCGAGACCCTGGTCGTGGTCGACGGCGTCTGCAGCGTCGCCTGCGAGGAGGTCGCGTTCGATGAGTGGGACCTGGACGCCGTCGTCACGGCCAGCCAGAAGGCCATCGGCGTCCCGGCCGGCCTCTCGATATCCATGTTCAGCGCCAGGGCCATCAAGGCGTTTGAGGCGAGGAAGACTCCCCCGGCGTCGTACTTTGCGTCGCTCAAGAACTGGCTGCCGAGTGAGTGTGTCCACACAGCCCACAGACCTCCTTCAGTCACTAATCCAACTCGTTCCCGCCCTATTTAGTCATGAAGAACTACGAGATCAAGAAGCCGTCCTACTTCGCGACCCCGTCGCCGCAGCTGATCCACGCCCTCCACACGGCCCTGACCCAGATCCTCTCGCGGCCGTTGGCGGAGCGGTTTGCCCAGCACAGGGAGGCCTCGGATAGGATCAAGAAGGCCGTTGCGGACCTCGGGCTCAAGCAGGTCGCATCCAATCCGGCCGACCAGGCCCACGGCATGACGGCCATCTACCTCCCCGAGACGGTTAAGCCGACTGAGATCCTGCCGAGCCTGGCCAAGAAGGGCGTCATCTTTGCCGGCGGCATCCACAAGGAGATTGCTACCAAGTACATAAGATTCGGACACATGGGTGTTAGCGTGGTATGTTGCGTTCCACCCGCGATTTGACAAAGAAACGCAGTGCCCTGACATTTTCTCTTCACTATACAGCTAAATCCGGAAAGGGGCGATGTTGAGCGTGCCGTCAAGGCGCTCGAGACGGGATTGTCCGAGTGTGGCTACCAAAAAGCTTAGAGGAGATTACGCTGCTATGGAATCCTACCTGCATGTTGGGACAGTGCGGAGAACCATGACATCTCAAGCTATGAGGTCATCTCCGGCGTCCCTCCTCTCGTGTCCCCGCGCGCGTGGTGATGTGCCAGGCCGGTCATCGCGCTTGAAGCGTGCGGCCGACTGGGTGCTGGGATTATCTAGAGGTGCTTGAAAATAGATTTCCACGTCGCATTGGCGTCTCGATATATCGGAATTGTAACCAATTGGCGGCCCAAGCACGGCAGCTGGCTTTGCAGTTTATACGGACTGCAAGCTTTTGTTAGGGGCGTGTCAAGCACCCCGCGCAACTGTGCAGCCTCGGTAGCCTCGGCATGGGCGGATTTCTAAGCTGGCGAGCAGGCAGGCAAGAAAAGAGGGGAGGGAAAGTGCAATCCATGCGTCGTGCATCGGATGTTGCGAGCTGCCAAAATCGCCATGACATAGATCTCGTCGAGCAAATCTCGTACCTACCACCTCCTTACCACAAGACCCAATCCAGCTCGAGCGCCAGGCGCGACGCTGCAGCACCTTGAATTGACCCCGGGCGCGCAAACAGCTCGCGCACAGACCATCCCAACACAGTCTACCGGAGCGATATCATAGTGGGGCAGCGCAGCCTCAATCAGTCGGGTCCCGCCATCACATCGCAAGGCGGGGGAAATTCAAAGGCTGCGATTCTCGCTCTCCGCTGCTTTCCACCACCACCACCACCCAAGACTGGCAACGGTTGGACGACTCCTCCGCCACCCGCCATCTGATTCTCCCACCGCCCCCGTTTCTCGCACACAGCACAGCAATCCTCCTCTCGCGTCGCCGACGCCTAGCTGGGTCGGCGTGCTATCCCGAGCTGCTTCTTTTTTGTTCTTGCCCTTTTTTTCTCTCTCTTCTTCTCTGCCCTTCCCCCCGCGCGTCTATTTACCTCATTGGTGCGCCAGGCAACCAAGCTCCCGCCGAATTCCCCTCCTGCGAGCCTTGCTTCCTGCACCCACCGCCAGCCTCCTCGACTCCTGCCGGGGCGCGTCTTGGCCTCTCGCTCCAGTCTCTCTCCCCATAACCGCCGCTTCTGGCTGTCGCAGTCACCATGGGGTTCACGATTGCCGAGCTTGACAGTCTTGTCAAGACCTTCTATGAGGGTCGCGGCGAGCAGGTAGGCCGCCCTGGAAAAAAATCACCAACCGCCCCGCCCAGCCCGGCCGGCACAACCTTGCCCAGTGAGCTGTAAGTAGCTAACGCGTCATCTTACCTCTGTGTCTAGCAAAAAACTGCACAAGCCGCCCTGAACCAAGTAAGTCTGCCCATTCTCCCGCCCTACTGGGGATTTTCGCAGCTCCCTGTGCCGAGGCTGCGTCTCCTGCCCATACAAGAACTGACAAGGTTCCCGTGCCAAACAGTTCAAGGAGGACCCAGATGCCTGGTTGATGGTGGACCAGATCCTCTCCGAGGCGACATACTCGCAAACCAAATGTATTTGCAACTCCTCCCTCTCGGCCCGAAGCCATGCGCGTCGGGGCGGTCGACACCAGCCGTGTGTTCGTTCTCCTGGCTAACCTATCCCCAACCCCCAGTCCTTGGGCTTCAGATCCTTGATAATGTGATTTCCACAAGATGGAAGGTTCTCCCGCGAGAGCAGTGTCAAGGTATGTCCCTGCCCTGCCCGCGTGGGGGTCAATCATGCCGGACCCTGGTTTCTGACAGCCTCGACAGGAATCCGCAACTTCGTTGTCAACTTCATCATTACGTGCTCCAGCACCGAGGACGCCCTCCGCTCCCAAAAGACCCTCCTGAACAAGCTGAACTTGGTCCTCGTGTCTATTCTCAAGCAGGAGTGGCCACACAACTGGCCGACATTCATCAACGAGATCATCACATCGTGCCATACGAGCTTGTCAATCTGCGAGAACAACATGATCATCCTGCGCCTCCTCTCGGAAGAGGTCTTCGACTACTCGGCCGAGGCGATGACGTCGACCAAGACGCGCAACCTGAAGACGACCATGTGCGCCGAGTTCTCGCAGATCTTCCAGCTGTGCAACGAGATTTTGAGCACGGCCAACCAGGAGAGCTTGGTCAAGGCCACCCTCGAGACGCTGCTGCGATTCTTCAACTGGATCCCGCTGGGCTACATCTTCGAGACCCCCTTGATCGAGACGCTGCGGACGCGATTCCTCGAGCTGCCCGCATTCCGCAACGTCACGCTTCAGTGCCTGACGGAGATCGGCGGCCTGCAGATCGGGGGCCCTAACCAGGTCAGCAACTACGACGAGCAGCTGGTCAAGATGTTCACCGAGGTTCTGGCAACCATCTCGACCATCATCCCGGTTGAGATGGACCTAAGGACGACGTACCCGCAGAGCAACTCGCGCGATCAAGAGTTTATCCAGAACCTGGCCCTGTTCCTCTGCAACTTTTTCTCCATGCATCTTGGCCTGATCGAGAGACTACCTAACAGGGACTATCTGACGCACGGCCACTACTACCTTGTTCGCATTTCGCAGATTGAGGACCGCGAGATCTTCAAGATCACACTCGACTACTGGCTCAAGGTCGTCCAGGAGCTGTATGAGGAGATGCAGCAGCTTCCTCTCAGCGGAGACCTTAGTGGCAGTTCCCTGATTGGAAATCCGGGCATGGCTCTCTCCGCTGGCGGCGCCCCGACGCCGGAGATGCTGAACAACCTGCCGCTTCGCAAGCACAAGTACAAGGAGATTCTGAGCAACCTTCGTGTTGTCATGATCGAGAAGATGGTGCGCCCCGAGGAGGTGCTGATCGTGGAGAACGACGAGGGCGAGATTGTGCGCGAGTTTGTCAAGGAGAGCGACACGGTCCAGCTGTATAAGACCATCCGCGAGTGCCTTGTCTACCTCACACATCTTGACGTGTCCGACATGGAGCAGATCATGATCGACAAGCTCTCTCGGCAGGTCGACGGTAGCGAATGGTCGTGGCACAACTGCAACGTGCTGTGTTGGGCCATTGGCTCCATCTCGCTCGCCATGAACGAAGAGACGGAGAAGAGGTTCCTGGTGACAGTCATCAAGGACCTTCTCGGGCTCACCGAGATGAAGCGAGGAAAGGACAACAAAGCCGTGGTTGCCAGCAATATCATGTACATTGTTGGCCAGTACCCGCGCTTCCTCAAGGCCCACTGGAAGTTCCTTAAGACGGTTGTCAACAAGCTTTTTGAGTTTATGCACGAGTCACACGAAGGTAAGTCTGAACTACGAGGTTGTTGCGCGGCACCTGTTATTACCGCGATATAAGCTGACCCTGGCCTTGTTTCGCATGTCTTAGGAGTCCAGGACATGGCCTGTGATACTTTTATCAAGATCGCCAAGCAGTGCAGACGCCACTTTGTTGCATTGCAGCCGAGCGAGCACGAGCCGTTCATCGAGGAGATCGTGCGGAGCCTACCCAAGATCACATGTGACCTAACGCCTCAGCAGGTGCACACCTTCTACGAGGCCTGCGGTTTCATGGTGGCGGCTCAAGGCAACAGGAACCAACAGGAGCGGCTCCTGAGCGAACTGATGGCAATGCCCAACCAGGCCTGGGACCAAATCATCAAGACGGCGACCGAGAACCCGGCGGTGCTGCTGGAGACGGATACCATCAAGATTATCGGCAACATCATGAAGACCAACGTCTCGGCCTGCTCGTCCATCGGGCCTTACTTCTATCCCCAGATCGGACGCATCTACCACGACATGCTTCAGATGTACCGCGCCACCAGCCAGCTGATCTCGGAGGCGGTCGCGCGCGAGGGAGAGATTGCCACCAAGATGCCCAAGGTCCGGGGGCTGCGGACGATCAAGAAGGAGATCCTGAAGCTGATCGAGACGTTTGTCGACAAGGCCGAGGACCTCCAGTCTGTGCGGCAGCAAATGGTGCCGCAGCTCCTGGAGTCGGTGCTGCAGGACTACAACCGCAACGTGCCTGGCGCGCGTGACGCCGAGGTTCTGAGGGCCATGTCAGTCATCATCACCAAGCTGACGTCGCTGATGGAGGACCAAGTGCCCATCATCATGGAGAACGTGTTTGAGTGCACGCTCGAGATGATCAACAAGGACTTCTCGGAATTCCCCGAGCACCGCGTCGAGTTCTTCAACCTGCTGCGGGCTATTAACCTGCACTGTTTCCCGGCTCTACTCAAGCTCGACAACCGGCAGTTCAAGTTCGTCATCGATTCGTGCATGTGGGCCAGCAAGCACGACAACCGCGACGTCGAGGCGGCCGGTCTCAACATGTGCCTGGAGCTCATTGTCAACATCGCCGAGAAGACTGACCCGACCACGGCCAACGCCTTCTTCAACCAATTCTTCATCCCGATCCTGCAGGATGTCTTCTTTGTGCTCACCGACACAGACCACAAGGCCGGATTCAAGGCGCAGTCGATGCTGCTCCTTCGCATGTTCTACTTTGTGCATCCGGCCGACGGCACGACGCCCAAGATCCAGGGCCCCGTCTATCAGCCAGACCAAGCGCCGGCCGGCACCAGCAACAGGGAGTTCCTGTCCAACTTTGTGGGGACGCTGCTCCGCAACGCCTTCTCCAACCTGCAAAAGTAAGTGTGACGGCAGCCCCCAGACACCCGATAGCGTCTGCTAACCCACCTTTTTCTCCTGATGCAGCGCCCAGATCCTCGCCTTTGTCGAGAGCCTGTTCACCATGAACGCGGCGTACGACAAGTTCAGGCTGACGCTACGAGACTTCCTGATCTCGCTGAGAGAGTTCGTTGGTGACAACACGGAGCTGTACCTGGTGGAGAAGGAGCAGAAGGAGCGCGAGGCCAAGCAGGCCGAGCTTGACCGCCGGTCCAAGGTCAGCGGTCTGATGAAGCCTTCGGAGCTGGAGCCCGAGGACGACGAGTTGTGACTTGGCCAAGAGCTCAGGAACGAGTTTGCGCCGAGCCACGACGGCGTCGACGGGCCCCCGTCGGTCGCTACCGCCCAGTCTCAAGACGGATGGGAGTTCTACGGCCTCTGACAATCTGTCAACCTTGACTGGGTGTGCACTCTCATCTTCTCTGTTGGGTGGAGTTTCATTATCGTTGTGCCTGTTATCGCGTTGTTTAACCATGTAATGATACCAATTAGATGATACTGGCCCGCAAGACACCAGTTGGAGGGTGTCTTCCTGCCCTGCGCTGCCATGTTTCGACATGGCCCGAACCTTTTCACCCTGGTATGTTGACTTGATGATTCTGGGCGCCGGCGGAGCAACGTTGTTGTCTATGACGAAGAGTTTGGTTCGGAGGAGGTGCAATCTCGGACAGCAGGGCATATGACAAGGTGGGAGGGATGTGGCTAACCTGTTAATCATGGACGTTACAAAGGTCCACGGGTTTTGTTGAGGCAGGAGATATACGTCGCCTAGATCAACACGGTAAAAAGGGGGTGATGAAAAAGGGGTAGTGAAGAAAAGTCGGGGTGGAAAAGGAAGGAAAAAAAAGTCAAGATTTGACATAGGATTCGGTAATGTGAGGAATTTTAGGTCTGTGTAAATCGGTCTCGTTCCTCTGCCCGTTATCTCTTTTGTTTCTACCGCACGTATAGTCGCTGGCCACAACAGACACGAGAATACACAATGCCATCTCACATAACGGGGATGGGGTTCGGAGTTGGAATTAGATTCTTGGAAGGGACAGAGGTAGCGCGAGGAACAAAAGACAATGAACCAGCAAGAGCTCTGCCGTGCCACGGCTTCCATGTCTATAACCCTGACGCCCACGGAGAGAAGGTATACAGTGTGCTCCAACGCACCGGCATGGCAATGCTTGCGCCGGCGGCCCGCCCGCCACCATTCCCGCCCTGTGCTGTGGAAGAGGACGGACGGGTAGAAGGGCTGGAGAGACGGGGAGAGTCGGTTAGCACCACGTCGTACATGTCGCGCGTCTAGGCCCGTTGTTGTGCTCTGGAGGGGTCCTGCCTTGTCGCAACTAGAGGCAATGATTATTCTTCCTTCTTCGAGTATATGAAAGAAAAAAAGAAGAAAAAAACGAGATAGAGTTCCACATGTGTCCTGCCATAGGTCGCTCACTGCTCCCTCTAGGTGGCTACAAGGCATAGGTAGGTATAACTGGCGGCTCTGGACCGTTGATGCGGGTTGCCGTGGCGGTAAACTCGGGAGGGAGAGAAAGAGAGAGAGTGTGTGCGTGTCTGTGTGTGTAGGTAGGTAGGTCAGGTACCTAGCTATAGCTCATGGTGCTCCTCCTCTACCGCATATCCGAGTCAGGCCCCTAGAAGAGAAGTCTAGTTCGGCAGTGCGACGAGGGGGAGACTTAACAGACAACGCAGCAGCTAGCCAGCCGCCGGCCCGGGCTTGTCCACGGCAACACGCCTCTGAGCTGGCTCGGCTTCCCTATTCTGAATGTGTCTGTGTCCTGATGCCTGTCGTGCGACCTGTGCACGGAAAACTCCGGTTTGGAGCATAGTATGAGAGGTGGTGTACATAGGGGTTGTAAACACAGCTTGGGGAGGGGGCAGGGAGACACGACAACCGGCTACCACCTACCTACCTGAGATGGTGCTCACTCGTCGTGGGCTGGCTTCACAGGCACGCTTGCTGCGTCGAGACGGGGGGGTTGGCTGGCACCACGCCAGTCCTGCCAGTCCATGGCTCGCTGCTTCGGCTTCCTCGTTCCCGGGAGGGGGTCTCCGGAGTGAATGATGTGTCTCTTTTTTTTTTCTTATTTCCAGTGTCGCAGTGGACTTTCTCAATCACACAGAGACAACCGGGTCCGAATCCAATCAAAGGGGTGGCCTGTGGCCCGCGTGCTGGGGGTGTAACCCTCTCTCTCTCTCTCTCTCTCTCCTGTTGATATGCTTATGCTGTGCAACGACCAAGGCAAGAAGGTCGTGGCCTTTACCTTGCCCAACTAACAACTCCCTTCTGCCCGGGCAACCAGCCACGACCCCCGCCCACATCCAGTCTCTGGTGCAGGCTGCAGGCGGACTAAAAGAGAAGCAAGAGGGTAGTTGTTGTCGGGTGTTACGTGGTCCGCCCGTCCTGGGGTTCGTGGCGCGGGTGTCTCTGCCATCCACGGCCCTGTTCTTTTTTTTCTCTTTCTCATCTTCGTCTTGTCGACGGCTACCTGCTTTTTTTTTCGCTGGTTGGGCATGTATGCCAGTTGCCGCCCGTTTCGCCACCCAACCCAAGTGGCGAGATTTCCGTCACACAGATTTCCGTCACACTTTCTCATCACCTCACTTCACGGCTCTCGTGCTTTCTCCTTCTGTCTGTCATACACACCCATCACGTTGTCCCCTCCCACCCTCATCCGTCCGGATTCCCCCGTCGCTTTTGTGCTACCCACCCCGAGGCGCATAAACATCACGCCTGTCAGCACCTTGGGCTGGACAGAAGAGAAAACTCTTGCGAGACCGGTGACTGTGCGCAAGAGAGGAAGAAGAAAAAAAGAAAAAAAAAAAAGAGAAAAGAAGGGCGCACAACTAGGCAAACCGGTGGGCGGGCTTGTTACACAGCATGCTACCGAGTGAGGGGGGGGTTGGGCCAAGCGAGGGGCCTGGAACGCCGTCGCCGGGCGGCCTCTTGTCCTATCCCGTAGGTAGCGCCCGTCCTTCCGACAGCCTTCCGACAGCCTAAAGGGTGGCAGCAGGCAGACAGCAAACAGTAGTCCTCCTCCCCCCCGTGCTGCTGCCGAGTCATTCATGGCGGCGTTCGGGATGGCGATAATGGGGGTTTGAGAGGGTGGACATCACACCACGACTGTGCGAGCGAGAGCCGAGGCATGGGGGAGAGGAGAATATGTCAGCCAGTCGGGGCAGACTAAGGGCAGCTGAAAGGATCGGTCTCATCCCCTTTTCCAAGATTACGCGCCTGCCGTTTTCTGTTTTTGCAAGTCGGGTCAAAAACCCCGAGTTTTGGGATGGGCAATAAGCAGAAAGCCCTGCCACTCAACCAGATGTCTGGGTTCGATTCCGGTTTGGGCCCCCCCACATGATCGCCGCCGCTCTGATGCTGTGCCACAAAGACCAGGAGCGGTAAAACGACACGATGGAAGGAAATTAAAGCGGCAGGTGACAGCGAGTGATGGAAACCTGCTTGCCAGTCCGTGCGTTCCCTTTCCCTTTTTTTTTCTCTCGGGAGGGCTGGAAGGAAGGCGGGCGGCATTGCCGTCGGAAGGACCACCCATATCATATCCCGCAGAAACAATAAGACGAGGTATTAATAAATATGGTTAAATCCGAGATAAAATGCTAAGTGAATTAAGGAGTCCGAGGGTTCTAATGATGAGTCCAAGTAACAGGAACATGATTCCAGTGGGGGAGGGTCAAAGGTGACAAATGAGATCTTCTCTCTGGCCCCCGCTTCGTTCCAGCATCGCTTACGCGCCCAGAGCCCGACTAGTGGCCTCGCTTTTTCGCTCAGACGGAGCGAAGGAGAGAGAGAGAGAGCCAGGCTACCGGGTCCACGAGCAGAGACGACGGGGGCTTACTGTGGTATCGCAGTCTGGCAGTTGATACACCGGATACAAATGCTTGCTCGACCCTTTTCCCCCACACCTACCGGTCTCCGCATTCAAGGTGGAATCGACCTAAAATCTGACAGTCAACTTTTTTTTTCTCTCCTTCTTTTCTTGCTCGTTCCTCACTCTCAATTTAAAAAAAACAACCATGGTTGGGGTGGGGGGGAAACAAGAGGGTGTAAGACCAAGTCAGCCGTCCCGTCATCAGAGTTGCAGCACCAGAAGCAGGAGTGCACCAGCGGCTCGTCACATGAGATGGCTCGCTTTCCTTTTTTTTTTGCTTTTTGCTTTTTTATTCCATCCAGCCAGTTTTACTCCGGTTTTAGCAAGTAGGAGGGGGTACAGCCAACCAGACCTGGGCTTCGGACGGGTTCAGAGGAAATAACATTAAAACGTCACAGGCGGGGGATTGTCACACGCAAAACGAACGACCCATGGAATAGCAACCCCCGGGAGGACCAGTGCCACAGTCAACCATACAAAATGACGTGGGAGAGGTGAGTGAGTGAGGGCCGGTATACCCGTCTTATGCCCGCGCCTCCCCTCCGAGGAGGCACTCCCAAGCGTCTGGTATCGCCAGAAGAAAAAGGAAAAAAGGCGTGATGGCAGCATGCGAGGGATGGAACGGGACGAGGGGAGGGGATCTCATCAGCGGGGAGGCCGTGTTTGTTACCCCCTCTACAGCGTCGGAGACGGCGGCCCCTGAGAGGCGCGTCGGAGGATTCGGGTTTGGACGGGAGGGAGGCAGTAGGAAAAAAAAAAAAAAAGAGCTCTCTAGCAAGGAGAACCAACAGACAGACGGCTAGGTCACGAACCCGAGCGGAGGGGCATGTCCATGGGAAGCGTTGTAGTTTGCAGCAGCCTCCCTTGCCGGCCGGGACTGTTTGCAGGGAACTGGCAGGCGGACAGGCAACAATACCCGGCAACGCTGGGCTTACTGTTTTTGCAGGGGGGCTGGAGTGTTCGTCTGGGATTGCGGATTCTTGACTGCTCTCCTAGTGAGAAAACGGCTAGGCTTGGTTAGAGGAAAAAGGACACTGCAGCGTCTGTGACGAGACCCACAGATCTGGACCCTGGTCTTGCCAACTGACGCCCAGGGAGGGAATGTCTGTTTGTTGGGTTTGGAAGGAAAAGATGAGGAAATGGACGTCAATCTGTTGTCTTTTACTTTCTTTCCTTTTTTCTTCTTTTACAATCGGAGAGAAACGTGGAAAGTCGTGAAAAGAAAGCAGCACGGGCACCACAAACAAATCAGCCACAGCAACCTGAAAGCGGCAATTCGTGACGAGACATTACGACAGGCAGAAAGTGGCCAAAGAGAAGTAGCCAACGAGCGGGCTTAAACAGGCCATCCGGGCACAGGGCCGGCCGCACACACATGCAACGACGCATGCACACGCGCATGCAGCTCCCACTAGCTAGCGCCCCCCAAAGCCCACACTAAGGGTCTCGCCCAGCTGCAGGCGACGCCCAATCCGGCAGCTACCCTTGCCCGGGCCACAGTCTACGGTTATAGCAAAATAGAAGCACAACGGCAGCAGCTGGCCGGAAACACAATTAGGCCGACACACACGCCGTGGCAGGTAGGCAGGCAGGGGACGGGGGGGGAGGGAACGGGCGGAGCGGAGTCGGATCGCCGGGGGATGTGGCCATGCGCATTTGGAATGCCCTTGCTGATCGGCGCGCCGCCCTGCAGGAAGGACCTTGCAGCGAGCTTATCTCTTTTGTATTGGGGATTCGCAGTGGGGACTGAGCTGGCTGGCTGGCTAGCTGGCTTGGTCTGAGCTAGGCTGGGCTAAAAAAGAAACGAGAGTCGAGGCGTGAGGAAGATGGCGTTCCGACCAATGCCATGGCCGGGCCCGCATCCGATGCCTCAATTTTAAAAAGGGCCAGAGGTTAAAAGAAGCAAAGATCACAGCCTCGCTGCTCGCCTCTCAACACTCGGATACATGTCCGTCAGAAGTGGGAGTGGAGAAAAGAGAGAGGGGTGTCTCGCGTTGAGTTACCACGCGCCCTTTGGAGAGATAGAGATTGACCGGCCCGATAATATCAACCTAGGGATCAACGGGTGGTGGAATGAGTGGAATGGATGCTGCAGTCACGTGCAGTCAGTCACTTTACTGCACCTCCAAAGCCCAAGCCTTGCCCTTTTCCCTCACGAACAAAATACGAGATACGGGTGTAGGATTGGCATTACGCTGCCATTATTCCTTTCAGCTTTCTTGCATCAAATCTTGATTTGATTTGATTTTCTCTTACGTGCGAAACACTCGCTGCCCTGCAAGCCAACGGCGCACACTGCGACCACTCTGGCCCCAGAGTGCGGGGGAGCCCAACCAAGGTGGGGCAAGAAAAGGACTTTCAGCTCGTCTTTTTCCCCACACACAAGCCCAACAAAGCCCAACAAGCCCCCCTCCGAACGGGCAGGCATTCGTTCTCAGGTTCGACCGCGCCCGGCATGGCATACCTAGCATGCCATGCCAAGCCATTGCACCGTCACAGGCGAGAGGACTGACCGGCGGATGGAGATAAGGAAGAAACCCTCCGGCTCAGCCCTGGTTCTTCTCTTTCTTGCTTCTTCCAACAGACACGCCCCTATCACATCAACCATCAAGTCCAAATGAACCGCTAACGGCAGAGTGGCCGGTCAGATGGCGTGCTAGCCCTCACGAGGGCAAGTGCTTCGGAAGGCTGGCAATGTTTGGTTAGACAAGGGGGGGAGACCAAAAGCCGCAAAACGCACGAGACTCAAAATGCTGTGACACGAACTAGCAGATGCGTCAAAGTCAAAGCCACCGTTGAGCCGCACTACTCTACTCTCTATCTCGCCCTGGGCTCTCATCTCGCCCTGGAGGCCCGGTCTACTAAGTAGGCGCCGCAGACTGGCTCTTGTTATTGACTGTTTGCCCCTTCTCGGCATGGCGTCCAAACAAGTCCACGACGCTTGGCAGGCACCTTTTATTTTCAGGCACCTTTTATTTTCTCCTTTTTTTTTTTTGACGTTCCCATCAAACAGCCAGGGGCCCTGGTCACCCCCCAACCCACCTTGCCTCCCCTTCCCCTTTTTAGCATCAAAAAAGAGGCGCGCGCTTTCTTCCTCGCCTCTCCTACCCCCCAAGCAGAGCCGGTGGAGGAAAGAAAAAACTGGACCTGTCGGCCTTGCCCTTCCCGCGACTTCGCCCGTGCTCAAGGGGGACCGCACGCAGGAGATCGTGGCAGGTGGGAACGGACCACGGTGGGCTGGGCTGGCAGTGCAATGTCGCTTGCTGGCCAATAGAGAGCCAGATCGGAGAAAATAAATGTTGGCCTTGGGCTTTGAAAATCTTCACCTCCCGGAGCTAAAGCCAAAAGAGGCTGCTTTCTTTTGAAAATCGACGGGGAGGAAAGGAGAAAAGGGCCAAGAGAAAGCAAGGGTAAGAAAAGGAAAGTAAGCCAAGAAAAGAGAAGATTTGACCAATCGAGAAAAAAAGAGACGAGCGAGATCAACGATTGCGACGTTGAGTGAGAAAATTGAATGCCAAAGCGCCTTTCCCATCACAACACAAAAGAAACTTCAATGTTGCGGATGCAGCGACGGGAAGGTGCATAAACAATGGGACAGGCTGCGTAAAGGGACCTCGGGCACGTGTCCGTTGCTTGGGACATGCATCAATCAACACAATCTAGATGGAATGAAGCTGCAACCTGTCAACAAGCCTGCATACGCAATCTCTTCTCTAGGCCACCATCAACAAAACGAGTCCGTCACGGCAGGCAGCAGAATTCCCGGTGAGTCAACCACTTTCCCATCACCGAGCAGATCTTTTTTTTTTTTTTTTTTTTTTTTCGTTCTTGATTCACGATCTGATGACTATCCGCCACCGACGTCGTCGCTGTGGAGCATCCAACAAGCGCAGGGGTCGAGAGCGAGCTCTGTGCGTTCTCGTTTTCGAGCCAGCAGGGCGGCCACTAGGGGGACAAGCGCTTTCTGAGAACTGTGGAGCCTAAACTTTTTTTTTTTTAAAAAAAAAAGAAAAAAAAAAGGGTTGATCGATCGGCTCATGCTTACAGAACCAGGTTCGCCGTCCAAGAGACCCGCCCGCCAATATCAAAAGGGGGATAGCTGGAAGGGACGAAGAGACAGAAGGAAAAGAGAAGAAGGAAGAAAAAAAAAGGACCATTGACGCCATCCCGAATGCAGACAAGCAATTTCTTTTCTGGCGTGGGATGACGCCCGAACCACACCTCTCCCTGCTGGGCGAACACGCCACGGGACTGCTTGCTTGCGTCAGTGCGTAATCCGCTGGCCATGAGTGGGAAAGAAAAAGAAAAAGACAAAAAAATACCGAACCAACAAACGGGTTCTCCGGATCGTTCCTGGGCAACTCCACGAACCGCAACGTGAGGCCATTCGAACCACCTGCCCTGCCACACAGCCCCCCCCCC